ACCTGTCTTTTTCTCCAGGGTTATCAGGATTCTGACTCTTCATTTTGGTAATATTCACATTTTTCCAGGTCCTAACAATTATATGATTCCAGAGGTCCTTGGACCACATTCAGTGGCTTCCCCAGGTAGCCCTTCCTATTCTATGACAGGAAAGAGTAAGCTTGGACGTTTTGATGAAGACCTTCACAAGGTAATCTGTGGATTCAATTCTTATTTTGTTGTATCAGACTTTGTTATTTAATAACCACAATGGACAACCTAGAAACACACTTAGCTTTTAAACCCAACTTTTATAACCTTCTGCTACTTACAGTTTGGCAGCATAATGATCGCACTGCTGAGTTGCACTTATCCCCTCCCATTGTCTCTACCATGACAGAGTCAAAGTTCCATCCAGATAACTAACAGAGAAATGATAAAATGCAGCAATGTTATCCCTGGTGCAACAGAGAGGAACATGAGTTTGGTGGCAAGATAATAGAGAGCCTTGCCTTTTGACAGAAGACGCAAACGCCTAGGTTCTTGAGGCAGGGCAGCGAGGAAGCTTCCAACATTAATGTCTCCAGCTCTTTTTACAGTGTTTTCCCTGGAACAGAAGCAGAAGTAATAAATTAGTTTGGCATCCCAAGTCCCATGGAAGCCTTAGGACAGTGGTAGCAAACCTATGGCACGTGTGCCAGAGGCGGCACTCAGAACCCTCTCTGTGGGCACACAGGCCATGCCCTGGAGATGGCAACCATGCCTCTTCAACCAGCCGCCCACTAACTTGCCAAGGTCCCACATGACCAGATCCATCCCAGCAACCATGCGCTTGTTGGCCTCTGTGTGCAGAGGTCGATGGTGTCAAGCAGCAGTCACCCCTGACCCTGCCACACCTTGCCCTGTGACAATGGCACCCCCACCCTGCCTCGCCTTGCCTTGCCTCACCCCGCAGGATGAGCCCACTGCCCCACCTGGCAGAGACCCCCTGGATCTCCCCAACCCTGTCCGGCCCCCACAGGCATCCCTTCCCACGAGCAACATCGAGGTGATCATGCCCACCCAATCTGCCATGACCACCACAGCCACGCCCACCCAGTGGGCCACGCCCACCTGGCACCCGGCAATAAATAAGTGGGTTTTGGGTTGCAGTTTGGGCACTCAGTCTCTAAAAGGTTTGCCATCACTGCCTCAGGACACCCTGACATATATGAAAGGGGTTTATAATGAGTTGCTCAGTTTTTCTAGAAGATGATATACGAGCTATGTAAGTTCCTTTTCATCTTGGGACACTGTGTGGTTCTTTCCTTTCTAGACTCCAGGTCCAGCCGCATATCATAAGCCCAGTGTAGAGATCTACAAAAAGAGTGCACCAAAATATACCATGGCAGGCCGACTCAAAGATCATAAAACTGACAAAATGCCTGGACCTGCAGAGTACGAACTGGGAAAGGTGAGAAAAATATACTTTTTTTCTAGGAAAAAAGAAAAAGAAAAATGTCCACCCACCCACCTGAAAAAGTGTTATTTAATTTTCATAAGGTTCTGACATTTATTAGGGCTAAAATATATGAAGGGAACAATATTGTATTTGTTCTTGTACAACAGAAGAAGAAGCAAGGAGGAAGTTTTGCAATATACTTTATTTTTAAGAATTCAGAAGTTCTGTCCTTACATTGGTCCCACCAATATTCAATAAGTATGATCTTTTCCTTTACCTTGCAACGTTCATATATTCCATTCTCATATTCCAATGATTTGTTACATTAGGAATGAAATTGGGCATTCATTCTTCCTTTTATCTTGATCCAAAAGACTATAGTTAAACTACAGCTGACTGTTATATTCAGAATTCCAACTATAATATAAGCTCTTCCCACAAACTAAGATAAATCTGTACCCCATGCCAGGGGTAGGTAACCTTGGCTCTTTTATGACTCATGGACTTCAACTCCCAGAATTCCTGAGCCAGCATGGCTGGCTCAGGAATTCTGGGAGTTGAAGTCCATGAGTCATAAAAGAGCCAAGGTTGCCTATCCCTGCCCCATGCTGTCAACATATCTGATTGTCTAAAGAGGGGCCATTATATCGGAGCTGCAGAATCCAGACCAGTGTTTCTCAACCTTGGCAACATTAAGATAGGTGGACTTCAATGCTTAGAATTTGGTGTTGAAGTCCAGCTATCTTAAAGTTGCCAAGGTTGAGAAATGCTGATCTAGACCATAAGATGGTAGAAGAGTTATGTTAAGCTTAGATTTTTATGATCCAGACCCGATAGCTCAGGTCCAGGGCCTCAAGAGGAATTATAGAGGAAGAAAGGTGTTGAAGGAAGCAAAGGACAGAAGAACTGACATTACAAGGATTGCTCTCCCCTTCTTTTCTATTGCCCCTTGACCAGTGCAAGCGCTGGAAATGGAATCCTTGGAGGCTCCTACAGCTTTCTCAACTGTTTCTGATTGCTCCCTCTCTTCTTCTGGCTCTTCTTCTACTAGCTTATGAAGGAACGCAGGGAGAAAGAATAGGCATCCCACACTACATTGCTTTTCCAATTGTATCCATGGAATCTGAAACAGGGAGCCTAAGGTTCCATGAGACTTAATGGGGTTTCATGGGAGACTAAGGAGAAAAAAACCCCAGCTTCACTCAAATGCAGCTAATTTTCTATCATTACTATGCTCTGGTTTCTGTTCAGATACTATATCATTAGAGGTGTGCCTTTTAATCGGAGTTCTAGGATTTCTTAAAAAGGCAACTAAAAGTTTCTGCAGCCTGAAAGTCTGTAAAGTGTTCTGTACTGTAATATACCTCCAGGGACCCCATAATCAAAGATCAGAAAATCTCTACATGGCAGCAAAGAGATATAGCCTATACATAAAAGAGGGATACTTTCACCTGGCTAAGTGGGGGAAGGTATCTTCTGGGGCAAGAAGCTGAGGGACATGGGTGGCTGAAGAGGAGAAGAGACTCTCATGAGGCTCAAGCCCACCACTGCTGTATCAGCAGGAAAGAAATGGCTGGGTGTCTTTCTCTTGGCTGCACTCAGTAGTTAATGTCAGGGTTGAGGGAGGTGCATAGTATTTGAGCTCGCTTCCTTGGAGACCCCATTTGCAAAATGGACCTTGGTGTCTACCACTACTATGTTTACTATTATAAACTATATTTTTCTTATTCGAAGAAAACAAATGCTATTAAAATGTACTAATTTTATAGTACTAAAATGTACCAATAGCCAGAAGACAGGTCTATTTTGCCTTACCTGTTTTCATCCTCCTATTTCTAGGTATCTTGTGCTCCTGTAATCAGTTTTGGAATCAGACATTCCGATTATACAACCCCTGTGATTGTGGACGTTTACTGATTTTGTCCTCTGTGCAGAAATCACATTGGTTTTTCAACTTGTTTTTATATCATGTTGCTCATGTTTCAAAGCTACCTGTTTTTAAAGCTTCAAACCAACTAACAACTGTTTCACCATGTTTTATAACCACCTGTCTGGAAGGACTACCACAAATATTCAGTAACCGACTATTTAGACTGATGTTCTAATCTCTCTGACAAAAGGAATGTGCCACAGCCATTTCTTGGGATGAAGAGAGCCCATTGCAAATTCTGCCCTGCTGAATATATGCCTAGATTCTGACACTAATATAGAGACCATGGTGTCATTCTCCAGAAATTGGAATTAGAAATATTTTATATTATATATTTTTTTTGTAAAAGCCAGTTGGATTCCTGCTTCAGAACTATTTCACAGAACTTGCTATTCTTACAGTAAGTCACATAAAAATATTTTGTATATCACTTACTATCTTCATTTAGAATAAATAAATGGGAAAGTCGGTCTTTACTTTGTCCTTTTTTCAGTGAAAATTAAGTCTCCTTTTATAGTACACAATCGCTGGCTGAAGAAATCTGGGAGTTGGAAGTCCACTCATTTTAAAATAGCTAAGATTGAGAAAAACTGGCCTAATGAATGCTCTGAAAAATTGGGAATAGTTAAACTTACTTTATTTTCAAATTTAAATACAATGTGAATGTTACTATTTCAACTGTGAGATAAGTTGCAAATCAGATTCACCTACAAAAGAATATTCACTTGCTTCAAGTGAAAGGCATATGTACAGCAATTATAGGAAGATCCAAAATGGATCAGCGCTGGATATCCTGTTCCTTCTATTCTTTTTTTTTCCCCTCCATGGAACAACATATGCTGGCAAATAGTATTTTGGAAACCAAAAGTATTAATGAGTAAGATATGATAAAAAATCTTGTACATCTGGAGTTCTTTTCAGTAGACAAATATAAGATTGCATTGTCACAGGTAATCCTCAACTTACAACCTTTCATTTAGTAACCGTTCAAAGTTGCAATGGCACTGAAAAAAAGTAACATGACTGTTTTTCACACTTGCAATTGTTACAATATCCCCATGGTCATGTGATCAAAAATTGGATGCTTGGCAACACACATATGTTTATGACAACTGCAATGTCCTGGAGTCATGTGACCAGCTTTTGTGATCTCTGACAAGCAAAGTCAATAGGGAAGCCAGATGCACTTTATAGCCATGTTACTAACTTAACAACTGAAGCGCTTCACTTAACAACTGTGGCAAGAGAGATTATAAAATGGGGCAAAATTCACTTAACAACTGTCTCACTTAGCAATGGAAATTTTGGGCACAATTGTGGTCATAAGTTGAGCAGTGCCTGTAACTGTACATATTATCTTAGCTTAAATCCTGATAATGCTTTAATAATAAACATCAGGAGGAAAATATTGATTCTAGAGCAAGGGTGTCAAACTGCCGGACATGTCATGCGGAAGCTGTGCCCACCTCATTGCTGGCAATGGCAAAACTGTCCCGATACGTTGCGCAATGTCACGTGACATCACGAGTTTGACATGTCTGTTCTAGCGAGATGGGAACCACTAAGCAATCATTAGTTGTCAAAACACTTCTATGCACATCTACTCAAAACTAAATCTTACTGAATTCAACAAAATGCAATCCAGGAAAATATGCATAAAACTGAATTTTTAATCTAGAATCAATACATCAAATTAAAAAAGAACTTTAAGACTGATTTTGACAAAGTTTAAAAAATGAATATACATTAACTTACTATATGGTTAGTACAACTCAAAACTGGTAAATCAATTAAGGGATTAATTAGAATGGAAAAGTGTTTTCTATTTTGTGAGTGCTTTAAATCCAACTTTCTTCTACATACTTCTTTGAGAGTTAACAAGCAAGGATTATTGTTCATAGCTGCTGGTTTACCCAGAAACAGTGATAACAGTGATTTTTGTTTTAAAAGACATTCCAAAGAGAAATACCACTTCTCAGAAATGCACATATCCTAACATCAGTCTTTTAAGTAACACTTTTTCCCATTAAAATGGGCATTAGAACATTTTTACTAAACATTGTCAGGATTTTCCTGCTGAACCATATACAGCAGAAAGCTAATCACCAATATGCTTCCTCTTTCACCAAGTAACGACAGCAAGCTAATACAAGGGCAGAGGGAAAGAGACTTCATTTCAGTGAATTGTGTTGCATTTGAGCTTTCAAGAAGAGAGGGACAAAATCATATCCTCTTTAAAGAAAAAAGATGAGTTCAGAATGGAGAGATCATGCTGTAGTTCACAAAGGAGCTTCTGGTTTATTGTAAAAATTTAAATAATCCTTCCCAAGATACACATCTGAAGGTCATCCACAGTTCCGTTTTCCATTACCACTTTTTTCCTTCAACAAGCATCCAGTACAAAATTTTAATAATTTCCTTCAAGTTCGTGCTCTTGTTACCAAATAATACAAGATGAAGAAGACAAGAATCAGTCCACCAGAGACATAACAGAGAAGCTTGCGGTTGTCCCTTCCTGACCGAGTCATAGTAGAGAAACGCTTCACGCTTCCTGTGAGAAGACCTGTCACACTCATAAAATCAGAATCCTAAAACAAAAAGAAGATAACTGTAACACATTATAGAATAGATAGCTCATTTCTCTAATATAGCCAGGAAAATCTAGAATCAACTTGAGTGATTGTTTCATTCCCATTTAAAGAAAAGATTAATTAAACTGTTAAAAGATTTGAAAGGGAAATTCTATCAACCATCTTGTTCTTTTTCTGTCCTTACTTTGCTGGTTTTGTCTTTTTGAATTGTGTTTTTATTTCCTTCATTGTATTGTGAGCAATCTAGTCATTCTTCAGTTGGACAGCTCCTAGATCAAATAAATTAAACTGTAGCCATACATAAACATAGTTCTTAAACTGGCAAAATTCGCAATGTAATACTATAGTGATGCTGCAGCACTTTCCACTACAAATTTTCTAACATCATTTAGCCTCACAATTTATCCAATAGGAGAAAAATTATATGTCTGAGATCCATCATTAGCTTTTATTAATAACGAACAGACTTTTAAACTTAGATCTTACAACAGTGATGAACAAAACATACCATATGCAAAAATATTACAAAGGATAACATGAAGTGAGAACTAACATGTGTATGAAGTAGCAAGCCACAGCTGCCATGACTGATTGTGATTTACCAGCCTATGAAACCCATCACTACAGACCACTAGTTATTTTTATAATATGTCATAGCCTACACATGGTTTGTACTTGCATACATGGAAATGTTTTATATATAGGAAATCCTTTTGAAATTGGTGTCACCAATTTGACTATACAAAGCAGTTCCTTAAAATATTTATATTAGTGTCATGAAAGCCAGAACTAAGAACCTACAAGCCATTACTGATACCAAGAGACCAAAGGCTCACATTTGACTTCTTTTAGAAAAATAACACATATACACATACAACTCTAGGAACTCCATGGCAGGATAAAATGCATTTTTTTTGGGGGGGGGGGAATGAAGACAAAATGATGAAAGTTGCCAGGATGAAGTTTAGTAGCAACAATTTCCTTGAATCTCATGAGTCCAAAATTCTAAACAAAATTGTGTTTTTACATAACTCAAATATACTGTATTACATAACTCATCCTTCAGGTATATTTTTTCCACATGAACTGCAAATAGTTGTTTACCATATTATCCAGGTACTGGTTTTGATCCTCAGCATCTTTGTCAATGTCCAATGCAAGCTAGATTAAAAAAAAAGAAGAAATTATTGTTTCCAACATTCTCATTTTTGACATTATTTTATAATAATGCTGATTTTGGAAAGGATTACAATTTTCATTTCCACATTAGCAATATAGAAAAAAAAATCTGGCATAGGGAACTCATTATAATTAGCTAGCAGTGAAAAACTAACAGATTGAGTGAGCTACCAACCGATTTTAGACGGGTGACTTTAGTGGCCAGATTTTCTGCCATGTGCTTATTTTCCACATCTAACATATCATCCACCACATTTGTGTTTGGACCTGCAAAAAAAAAAAAAGAGTTATAACTTAAGAACAGCTAAGAATACATGTAGGAGTTCATAGAAAAAGACAAACAATGGGTAACCTACAGATCTCTATTCCACACACACAGGGAACATTTCCCTCAAATTCCAAGTTCAAAATATTATTGAGCTGGCAGAGTTCAAAAATACTTTGTAAAAAGGTAAAAACAATTTTAAAAGGCCATAACAACAAAGCCTACCAGTTCCACATACCAGTGTATCTTATCATCATTTCATATGGTCTCCTGCTTGGGGCAGAGGGTTGGGACTAGAAGACCTTCAAGGTCCCTTCCAACTCTGTTATTCTGTATGTTACTATTGCCTTTCTTTGCCCCAACCAAGATCTTTAAGTGAAAGCAGGAAAGCTGGTGTGGTTGGCAAAGGAGAGAAGAGAACAGAGAAGGCAGCTGTTCTTCCCGGCGGACATTCTCTCCTGCCAGCTGCCTGCCAGATGTTCCACAAACGATGGTCTCCGTCTCCATCCCCAAAGGTTGGAATAATGCGAAAGGAATGGAGAGACCTCCAAGCAGAGGATGGCTCGAAAACACACCTTCCTTATTTTGCATCCCTCTCCTCTTCCAAAACTAATCAATCTGTCAAGGCAATGAAGAAAAGAAGAGCCGCGGCACCCACTCACTCTTTCCCCGTCTCCTCCTCCTCCTCCTCCTCTCTTTGCACTCACCTCGGCCCCAGTCCGCCATGGCCGCTTCCTGCCTCCGTGTCCTGCTCCGCCCACCGAGAAACGGAGATTTGTTTTGGTGCGCGGGAAAGAGGAGGGCTCTGGGCCCGGCTGCAGCCGCGGATAGGTCTTTCGGGGAAGGCGGGCTCCTTGGCCTAGAGAGCCTTACGCTGGCGCGCTGATGGGGTATTGCGCGTTGCCGCTGCGTGTGAATGAGGGCAGGGCTGTCCTGTAATAGGAAGCGGGCGCGGGCGCCTAGGCAAGCGGAGGTGAGAGGGATAAGGCAGGTCTTCGCGCGCGGAACGCCCGTCCGTCTCGGGAGTCAAGGGGAAGCTCCTCGCTGGAGCGCCTTTGGAGTTTCCGCCCCAGGCAGAGAAATGCTGCGGGCGACCTTCTTTATTACGCAATGTAGGTAACTTCTGCTCTCGGTGGCTTTAGTGAGGCTTAAGTGTAGTCTCCTCTTTTTTTTTCTTTCCTCCTCCTTACGGTCTCGATGTCAGCAGGCAAGAAAAGTAACAGCCTCGGGGTTTCTCGCACGTTTTTAGCGGTGGGCTAAATATTAAATGGTGGTCTTCCCACGACGCATTGAGACCCAATAGCTGACCCAACCAATTAGAGCCGAGCTCACGGTGCCGACTCAACCTGCGTAACTGGTTTACGGTTCAGCGTTGGGTAAAAATGCCTTAGTTAACTAAACCAGGGTTCAGCTTACCGGGATTTTGATATGTGCAAACAGACAAACAAGGGCCACTTTTCATGATTTAATGGCAGAGGATGCCATTGTTCTGGTATCAGCTTTTTATTGCAGAAAATAACTTTGATTTAAATTTTGCATTGAAGTTTACTCTGTGGAGGGAGAAAAAGAAGGACCAGTTTCAGTAGGGCATCTTTTTATGTGGTGTAAATTGGCAAGGGCCCCATTTCCCATCAGTGAGGAAAGTTAAATCGGTACTCTGTGTGTTCAGAGCTCAGGGAAAGCTGGAAATTCTTTTCACTTTCATTTTTTTGAACAGTGCAACCTAATAGAGCCCCATATTGCACGTTTCATGTAGCCGCATCTTTCCTATATTGTGTAGATGACAGCAAGAAATATTTATTTTAGGAAAGTGGGTGTCTGCATGTATATAGCATTGAATGCCATATCTGTCAGCTACTGCTAAGGTGTGGAAGTGCAGAGTCATAATTGTACCTCTCCAGTTAATTCCATGTAGGAAATTCTTGAGCATGAACTGAGTGACCTGATAGAGTTCCTTAGGTCAGCACCTACAATTATCTTCCCTTCTCATTTCCTCTGCTGTTACATGTTCTTTTTGTGCTTTTATTATTGGTGAAAATAGTCATGTTCATCCTGGAGAAAGTATCTGTAGTTGTTTAGAGCTGACATTGACTTTGATGACACAAAAAATGTTGATGTTGATCAAAAAACTGTTACAACCTAGTTTACTAAACCTGCATTTTAAAAAAAAAGATGAGTAAGCTTCATATTTTATGTTAAGGCAAAGTGCAATAGCTCAGTGGTTAAAGATGCTGAGCTTGTCAGCTGGTTTGAGACCCGAGCACCTCAAAATGGAATGAGCTCCCATTATTTGCCCCAGCTTCTGTCCACCTAGTGCAGTGGTTCTCAACCTTCCTAATGCCATGACCCTTTAATATAGTTCCTCATGTTGTAGTGACCCCCAACCCCCCATCCAGCTGGCCGGGGAGGGGGTGCAGGAAGGCCGCTCTGCCGGCTCTGCCCAGCCTGGTTGGAGAAGCGCCATTTCTCTCCCTCTTTCTCTTTCTCTTTCCTCTCTCTCTTTTTCTCTTTCCTCTCTTTCCTCTCTCTCTTCTCTCTCTTTCCTCTTTCTCTTTCTCTCTTTCTCCCTTTTTCTCTTTCTTTCCTCTTTCTCTCTTTCCTCTCTTTCTCTTTCTCTTTCCTCCCTTTCTCTTTCCTCTTTCTCTTTCCTCTCTTCTCTTTCCTCTCTCTTCTCTCTATCCCTGTTTCCTCTTTTTCTCTTTCTTCTCCCTGTTTCTTTCCTCTCTCTCTTTCTTCTTTTTCTGTTTCTCTCTTTCCTCTCTTTCTCTTTTCTCTTTCTTCTCTTTCTCTCTATCCCTCTTTCCTCTCTCTTTCCCTCTTTCCTCTTTTTCTCTTTCCTCTCCCCGTTTCTCTCTTTCCTCTCTCTTTGTCTCTCTCTCTTTCCTCTTTTTCTCTTTCTCTTTCTCTTTCTCTTTCCTCTCTGTCTTTCTCTCTCTCTCTCTCTCTCTCTTTCTCTGTTTCCTCCCTTTCTCTTTCTCTCTTTCCTCTCTCTCTTCAAAAAGATCTCACATTCCCAGAGATGTAATTTGGTTTTGGGGCATTTCTTTACCAATAACTAGATATGGTTTATAAAGAAGGTGACGGGGAAGTTCTTGTTTGTGGTGCTCCATTCCTATATGTAAATGGACTCCTTATATAGTAGGGAAATACATTTGAACCTAGTGTAACAGCCAACATTATGGAATGTGAAGGAAGGGTAGTGGAAGTGAAATAATAATATAATGGATTCTCTCTCCTCTCCCTACTTATCAAAAAGGGATCAGTTTAAAAAAGCCTTATGCTACATCAGGGGTGGGCAATTAATTTTCCCAAGGGGCCAGTAGAAAAACTGGGACTATTATGTAGGGCTGAACCAAGAGTGCTGTGAAGGCACCGACACATGTGTAGGCACCGGCACATGCACATAAATTGAAAAAAACAATAGTCTCCTTCAAAATAAAAGTGATACAGTGGTGTTGCATGCATGGCTTATACTTATTTGCATTTGATTTCTAATTTCCAATTGACTTCATGTGGGCAGGACAGGGACAGCCAAAAGGCCAGATGTGGCCAAGGAGGCATAAAATACCCATGTCTACACTACATAGTCATAAGGTAGAAGTGACTCTTGACTCATTCTGCTAGTCTTCGATTTACAGCAGTTCATTTAGTGACTGTTCGAAGTTACAACGGCACTAAAAAAGTGACTTATGACACTTTTTCACACTTATGGCCATTGCAACATCCCCATGGTCACATGATCAAAATGAAGACACTTGGAAACTGACTCACTTTTATGACGGTTGCAGTGTCCTGTGGTCATGTGATCACCGTTTGCGACCTTCTGATAAGCAAAGTCAATGGGGAAGCCAGATTCACTTGTTAATAATTTAACAACTGCAGTGATTCACTTAACAATTGTGGCAAGAAAGGTCGTAAAATGGGGCAACATTCACTTAACAAATGTTTCACTTAGCAACAAAAATTTTGGTCTCAATTGTGGTCGTGAGTTGAGGACTACCTGTATATTCTGTCACAGATGATTTTGATACAGTGCTCCCATACCCTCTGAAGAATTATAGTGTGTTGTCTCTAAAGCTAAAAATTCAAGCCTTCGTCTGAACTCTTATTCTTTTGGATGCCTTCTCATGTACTTAATGATGATTTGTTGTCTCTGAATCAAGATCCAGTTGGATGCAGCTGACAGTCTGTTCATGCCATGATTTAGATTTTATTTTTGTATAGTTTTGTATGAATTCTTTACCATCAGCCTTGGTATAGCTGTACAATAGCTGCAGCTGTAGGAAAGCTTGTTAAAGGGGTGGAGCTCCCTAGAGATCAATTCTTTCTTTGCTATAATTTCTGGATCAGTAACCCTGCATTACAATTCCCCACTGCTCTCCCTGTTTTTCTGCTAGTGAGATTATCCGGAAGAAAGAAAACAACACCAGTGTCTTCTCAGTTGAAAATTGCATTATGAGGATTGATGGAAGGTGGGATAGTTGCTTCATTCAAAAAATGAAACAAAAATCTTAATTAATAACTGTGTATATAAAGAGAGCAATGCTCGGACATTGCCCCTGAATTGTATCTGAAGAGGGATGAGAGGGAAGAAAGGAGAGGAGAGAGAAAAAAGGAGGGGAGAAGGAAGGAGGAAGGTTGGAGGAGAAGAGGAGAAGTGGGGAGAAAGGGGAGGAGAGTGGTGAAGGAAAGAGAAGAGGAGAGGAAGAAGAGGGAAGTAGGGAAGAGAAGAAAGGGAGAAAGAAGGTAGAGAAGAAGGAGTGTAGATACAGTGAAAGGGGAAATGGGCGAGCAACACCAAAAGTCATGTGTATGAATTTATTTCATTTTATTAAAAGTATCTTATATATGAATGTAAAAAGAATGTACGGTATGTTAATATCTGATAAATATCACGGTATATGTATGGGGGAGAGTTTGGAAAAATAAAAAATTATTTAAAAAAAGAGCAGTGCTATAAAGAAGGTAATTTTTGCTTTTCGCTTCTAGCTAGCCTTTTTTTTTATATTTACGGTACAATTTTTAATCCAGGACAATGGTGCTGGCTAGAATGGAATATACAGTGAAAAAGTGTTTGTCTTCTATTTTTGCTAGTTAAAAATACATAGCATATAAAAAGGCTATTTGCACAATATATTTTAAGTAAATTATCTATTATGCTAAGAAGAGTGGATAAATGGCTGGTGGGGAAGTGTGTGAATGTTTTTAAGGGATTCTAGATGTTGAATTTTGAAGGAGTCTCACCATGCAAGTAGCAGTGATACCGCTCAACAGATGTCAGACCCGATTATAACCTTAGAGTTTTCTAATTTGCCAATTCATCTTTGTGTAAAGATCTTATCTGTTTTGCAGTATTCCATTATATTCTGTTTGCAAATGGAAATTTTAGAAACCTGAAACAGCCTTTTCAAAATGTTTATTTTTCCGAAGAAAATGTGAAGTGGTAGAGTTACAGATAGTGGCAAGATATGCCCCAAATATCTTTGTCAGAGTGTCTCAGTCTCAGTTCCAAATACTGTAAGGTGAAGGACCTTGTTTCACAATCTATTACAACTCTTATCCTGAAAACCGTAATGAATCCTGCGACTTTCAGGATATGAATTGAGCACAAGAGAATTTTGTACTAGAGGTAAACATATCTGTGACCTATTCATTGATGTGCATAAAGAAACCTGGGCCAAACATGTAGAGAGAAATAGAATGCCTTTGGTTTTTGATGAATAATAAGACTAAATATACAGAGTACAATTTATATATTGGTATATAATGACTTATTCAAACAAATACAGCAATAACAATAGCAACAAAAACCCTGGCCAAAAAAAAAATCAGGAGTCGGGGAGCACCTTTTCTGACTAGTAGATTTATAAAAAGGAATCACCTCACTTCATGAGATGAAGCTTGTGTCTTTTAATAAAATTTCTTAATCAGAAAAAGTACTACTGCTGTCCTGATGTTTTGGCCCCCCCAACAGGGCTGCTTTTCCAGTTTCAACAAAGAAACCCCCCTATGGGCCTCTGTTTCCTCATTTCCAGTAAATGGAATGAATTGCGTCATGGGAGTTTTTGGCCTTTTGGTCCGTGGTGAAGAAAAGGTTGAGAACCACTGCTCCACAGAATTCCTTATTTTTATGCTTTAATCTGGTTTAGTAATTGTGGTGGAGACTTTTCAAATCCTAATCATAATTTATAAAAGTTATTAAATTGATTTCAGAGAATTTAGAAGACAAACTAATTTCTGATAATAAATAGGCCAGAAATTATTTGGATGAATCAAAAAAATAATACAGGAGCAGGTGAAATATTAACATTTAAGATGATCTATAGGGATGGCTTTTCCTATCTTGGCTGATTTTAACGCCTGGTACTGAACATTTTTATCACTTACCTATTAACAAATCAAAATTGTAGATTTGAAAAATTGTAGTGAAATTGTGTGATCAGAAGTTTCTGTAGCATTTAAAAATATGTTAAATTAGATGTAAATGCCATGAAGTTTTTTCCTCATTGGAGTTCAGGGCTACAACAGCCAATTCCGGTTACAAGTTATTGGCTATATGTAGAAATTACTTGTGATGGGTGGGGAGGTATTCTGTATCAGTTCTCTGCCCAGAAGAAAGTTGATTTTTTTAAAATGTTCAAGTTCTCTGCTGCATGTTTATAGTATGAGGAATAGTCAAATGTTGTTGCTTCTTTTAAACAACTGCAGAGGGATACAATCTACAATCTACAGATTGTTCCAAGCTTTGGGAAACCTTTTGCCAGAATTGCTGATCCTGGCAGTTGCTCAGTGATATACACATTTTGGCACATTATTCCTCTTTATTTAAATGTTGTTTTGTGCTGTTTTTAAATTTTGTAAATAAAGAACAAAAAACAGTTTGCTTATTTTAAAACCACTTCATCATTACTTTGGCAACTAAGTTGCCTGGTGTTTTCCATAGCAGATATGTAAACTGTGAAGGACAAACACTTTAGAAAGTGAGAAGTGACTGAAATAGTAGCATTCGTGATATTCTGGGAACTGTTATTTGCAGTTCTGGTTTGTACCAAACAAATTCTCTATTTTCTGCCTCCCTACACAGACAATTAGGGAGCACCTGCTAAAGGTGCCCCCACTAGGAGGTACAGTATGCAGGGGCCTGATCACCAGATCCTCCGTAATTTCTGTCCTTTGGAACAGGGGTCCCCAACCCCCGGTCCGTGGCATACCAGCAACCGGTCTGCACAAACAAGCAAAACCCCATCCGCAGGATACAGACACAAAACCATGTTCCCTCCGGTCCGCGGAAAATCCTCTCTCCATGCGGTCCCTGATGCCCAAAAGGTTGGGGACCTCTGCTTTGGAATAGTTGCCTCCTGAACAAGAATGTCCCATTCCCCTAGCGACTCTCATTAGCTGATTAGAATATGGCTCTTCCAGAGGGTCTCTGGGGATTAATGTTACACAGCAGAGCCATTTGTCAGAAATGCATAATTTTAATTTTTGACCACTAATTGCTATTTGAGTTAATTTTCTTCTGATGTTGCATTCTGTTCTGTAAGCCATGTGAAGTTTGGTTAGTTAGGTACATAAGTACCGTAAATGAAATGTGCACCATTTTCAGTCCCTCACATCCCCCACTATAAAAAATCAGAATAGGTTCTACATAGGGAATGATCTAAATGTTTTAAAAGAAGATACTCCAAAGTGGTCACTATTGATTTCCAAGAGTCATTGGGATTGTCCAAGATGTTGTTGTTATTATTTCATCTTCAATTGATTCACAGTCTGGTAAAAACTTAACAATTCAGGTCCTAACCAAGGACCTAAGAGCTGTTAAGGTAACATCTAAGTATATAGCCAGTTCCAAATGGTTTTTTGCAAATTCGAAATATTCAGGTCTAATAAGTTCAAAATTTCCATGTGTCTAGGTAGCTCTTTGGGTATTGCTCCAAAGGCTCCTATTACTATTGGTGCAACCATTGATTTCTTCCTCCACAATTGCTCAACTTCAATTTGTAAATCACAATATTTCATTCCCCCCCCAGCTGTTTCTCTTCAATTTGTGCATCACCTGGTATTGCAATATCAATGAACCAGACTTTTTCTTTTCCACAATAGTAATGTCAGGCATGTTGTGGGCCAGATGTCTGGCTGTCTGTCGTTGTTGTTGTTGTTGTTATTCATAGTACTATTAGTTACAGCAGTATTCATTAAATTATTTTCATATAATAAATGTTTGAAGGCTGATGAACAATCTGAAACTTTGTGAAGGGATCCGTAAACTGAAGAGTTGGGGGGGGGGTCATTTAAATCATAAGATTAAGCATTATGATTGTGGCAAGCTCTTCTAGCATCTGCCTTGATAGTGTGCCTTCCCTTCCCCTGTCACAGTTATTACCATCAAATACTGTGACATGGACTGTGATTAGCATGACTACTGGAGGGATACAAATATATATTTGCATTCTTAAACAGCTATTGTCTTTATGGTGACACAGACCAAATGTTGAATCTAGAGATGCGGAGAATTTGGCAACCAAAGAGTTAAGGCCTTAGGATAGAAAGGTTACCCCCCCCCCTCATGTTTTCTAAGCAGGATCAGAGATTTGAATCTGAGGGATGAGTCAGTTTGAGAGATACTCTGATTGGTGAGCACAGCTTTAGTATATTTTCAGTCCTCCCATGTTTTTTCACCAGAAAATGTATTGCCATCTGAACCCAGCAAGGAGATATGGGTGGTTTTGCTGGGAATACATCCTTTTATTATTGTAGGGGAATTTCTTTTCTTTTGTTTTATATTCATAGAGAGAAATGAGGACAATGGGTGGAGGAGGTGATTTGAGGAGCTACAGCATGCAGTTATCTGTTTTAAGGTAATCCTCGGAGTGGCGGAAGGGGAGGCTAGCTAGGTAATGCTTTGCTCAAAGGACATTTATAAAATGCTGAAAAGCCAAAAAAGGAAGAGGATTAGTGTGTAAGCAAGATAGCAAGCTACTGGCTGGTTTTACTGGGAGCTTCCATCTGCTTCTTACTTTGGAATTCTGGAGTGGCCAGGCTCGCTAATGTTCCTCCCTCTTCTCATCAGCTGTTTAACAAGGACTCTTTGCATCAGTAAATATCCAGCCACGCCACAAAGTCTTCTACAAATTTCACTGCAGTCAGCCTGTTCCTCTGGGCAGACATGACACTCCAAGCTGTGCTAGAGACTGTAGAAAATGGGAAGCAAGATACTGTCCTCAAGGTGCTACAAATCTACAACCAGGAGGTGAGTTTTCATTGGGAATTGAGGTACCCCGATGGAGTCTTGAAGAATTCACATTGCACGTTTTAAGGCTGTTCTTGTGATTCTCCCTTCAGTTTCATCTGTCTGTATCATTGGGCAATATGTTCTTGTTATTAATCCTTTAACATAGGTATTTGGGGTTACTCTCTCCCTTCCTTTCTCAAAAGGAACTGCAGCTGGGATGCTATAGCAAAAGTATGCTGTTCTGTGAGAATGAATCATGCCAGAGAAATAATGAGAACATTTCAGATGAAAAAAAAGGGGGGGGGGACCCTAAGTGGCAGGCAGGTATATGGAATTCACAAATACACAGTCCTAGGAAGTTGTGTATGTAAAGAATTAGGTTGATTATTATTAGTTTAGATAAAATCTGCCGTAACCTTGGAACTTTTCATATAACAATGATATCACAAAATAAATGGTTGTGGTGATTAGATTTGCTTCAAAATGTTACACAACCTGAAATGTGCCCTTCGTATTAAACATTTCTAGGAACTTGAAATCAAACTGTAATGAATATGCAGTTGTGGATTGATTTATATTTGATTTTATCAGGGATACTTTTGCTCTATACATCTTTGTAACTGTCTCTGCAACAGATTTTCAGAATAGCTGCATGTAATATGTGTAACCCAAAATGTTATTTTCAGAGAGGAGAAAGAGAAGGAATATGAATATCAGTTGGTAGGTTGCATTCTCTTCATACACATCTGTGAAGCTGCTATACAGATAGTCCTCAACTTACATCCAGCTCAATTAAGGGGATTTATGATCCAATTCAAAGATCCAACAATCAGGTCCCCTTAGCAATCCCATGACTGAACTTCAGCACTCAGAACAAAGTTGTATTTATAACCATTTGTAGCATCCAGCAGTCATGTGACTGCACTTTACAATATTTTGCCAAACGATTTGCACTCTGGCTTTTTGTCAAAATAGCACCCATAGCGAACCATTGGTTTGCTTAAAAATTGCGACTTAACAACCGTGGCATTCCCTCAGATTCATTTAACAACCTAGGTGATTTGCTTAACAACTGCCACAAAACAGTAATAAAGTTGGTCATATGGCTGTCATGACATAACTATTATGGTTGCATGTCAAGAAATACCTTTATACAATATTTGGCCATTATCCATCAATTGGAAGGAACTCTCTGTAACTTCAAGCAAACATTTTTTTAAAAAACATTGTTAACCATAGAACCTTCCTAACTGGAAATGCTGTGAGAGAATGAATTAACGATTTTGTTTAGAGAATATGTGATTGTAGTTCCATTGTTGCACTACAGAGAAGTTGAGACCTTTATTAACATGTTTCTCCATCAGTCTCAATATGTGGTGGGTAGATGCCATTCTCAGAAAACACATGAATGATTCATGGGTACCTCTCAATATGGAAAGAGGCTAATGCTGAGGCTTTCTAAGAATTTGTGCCAGATAACTCCAGAAGGGACTACATAATGGATAAAGCAAAACATATGGCAATTCCTTTCCTAGTTAATAATAACAGAGAAATATATCTTGTTCCAAAAAGAGCTGATATAATTCTAAAAGTAGCAGTTATAGTCCATGTTCCTCTTTCAAGCTGTCACCACCCAAAAGTAGCTGAGAATGGATTGTTTGATGTCCCTCTAGCTTCCAACTGGCTATAGTAGTCTGTTGAGAACAGTGTTAGGCATGTTTTTTCAAGATAGCAAGCTGAAGGTTTTCATTTATGGAGGAATAGAAATAGAACTGCCTTTAATTGCAATTTTTTTTAAAAAATTCTGGGATAAAATATGCTATGATAAATGAAAATTCTTGGATTATATTAGAGCTGATGTTTCTGTTTTCAGTAACTAAAAATGGCATAGAAATATAGTCTCCTTATAAATAAACTGCTTTGAATTTCTATTTTTTATTGCCAAATGAAGTGAAGTCTATTAACGGACTTCAAAAATGGAATAACAATTATATTAATACAATTTAAATAAGTGAAATAATTGACAAAGTCGTTTAAATTTCCTTCTTCAGAACGTAATTGGCAATTGGAAAGAATCTTCTATTAAGCTAAAGGTATTTGCCATTTGGGAAAATTTGGACAAAAATCCCAGTTTAAGAACTGGGCCACCTGGGATATCATTACAGGCTAATGAGAAATGCCTCAGTTTTAAAAAAGATAATGATAGGCAAACCTATGCATGAAGTCTTGCTCATTATCTTTATCTGAAATATGCAGTGGTAGAAAATGTTTGGTAATCATCTGGTCCATGTTAAAATTATACTGTTAAGCCAGTGCATGTTTGAGCTGACTATTTACCTTAGAATATGCCTTAAAATATTTTAAAATGCCCAGAGTTTACTTCAAAAAACAAATATATATTTATGTAGTATATATTGGAGGTGGTGACCCTTTGAGAGCTATATGCAACGAAATTTCATTTTAATGTGTGCCGATTAGTGTACATTCAAAGTGACAATAAAGTTATTATTCTATTCTAGTCATAGAAAGATTTTTTTAAAGGTAGGTTTGAAAATAACTGCCCCAATTAATAAAGCTACTTAGAAAGTAATAATCCATCTTAACATTTCTTTTTCTTTCTTTCTTTCTTCACTTAGCTTTACATTTCATTGGTTAGCATCTGAGTTGCTAAGTATTTGGAAGAAATTGATTGTCATTTGTTTTAAAAAATTCTCTTATGTTTAGAGAAAATTATTTTCTTAATTCATTCAAGGAATTTTCATTTTTGCTTTCTCAGAATGCTCCTTGTTTCACCTTTGATGATGAAGAACAGGAAGAAAGAAAGGTATGTTGTTGTATCATTGTTTGTAGTCCACCAGGAATACTGGGTGTGAAAAATAATAACTTCTGGATGGAAGAAAGTCATGAACTATTCTTTACTGTGAAATATGGAGAGTTGGGGCATAGCCATTTTAAGCCATATTTAACATAATACACAGTTTTGCCTTTGAAGTCCAGGAGTGCCTACAGGAAGAAGAGAGAGGCTGGTAATGTCCAGTGAGAATTAAATCCATCCGTGTGTAAGGATGGTTAAGGTATACAACAACTTCTTTAGATGTATTGCACCTTTCAGTAGTCTCAGCCAGAATTGCTAATGATGAGCAAAGTGGGTAGCTGTTGTCCAACAATATCTGAAGAGCTCCAAATGGCCTACTCTGGAATATTTTGGTAGCTGAACATCTTATTCTGATTTTCAGTATGAATTTATAAGGCTTCCAGTTACCTCTATCCCAGAGAGTGTCTGCTTGTGGATCAGTACAGTATCAGTCTTGATATGGTTATGTTGATTAATGCAAATACAACAGGAAAAATTTACTCATTTACACATGCACGCACAAATACATAGAGCCCCAAAATATCAACTGTGTGCAGGTTGAAGTCTTATTAACTGTTTTAAAAAGCACTGGTGCTTTTATATATTCACAATGTACAGGATTGCTTTATATTGTTTGTCTGCATTTATTGTATTATTGCTCAACTTGGAAGGCAAGATGGATGGGGTTTGTAACAGGGTGATCAAAAGAAAACAAATTCTTCATTAACACAAAACCCTATATTCAAGAGAACTTTATTCATGATCAGAAACACACACCAAAAGCAACAATACTTTCCTTCCTTGAATTATCATTTTTCAACAATAAGAGCAGAGATGAAAATATCATCTGCATGCAGATATCTTTCTTCCATTTATTACTGGAGGAGAAAGTTGATACAGCTTGTTTTCTTTTCCTCTTCCTACTTATCAGACGCTTCCTTATCCACAAATGTTATTACATCAGTCCCAAAGGTATTTAAATCTCACCACATTTATCTATGATGCTCCAACATAAATCTATTGTGGTAATAGATTCAGGGAACATCAAGGAAGAGCTCGCAAACTTTACTGAGATTAGTCCTAAACTGTATTGTTACAGCTAGAATACCATAGAGCAGGGGTCTTCAAACTTGGCCCTTTTATGACTTGTGGATTTCAACTCCCAGAATTCCTGTGCCAGCCATGCTGGCTCAGGAATTCTGGGAATTGAAGTCCGCAAGTCATAAAAGGGCCAAGTTTGAAGACTCCTGCCATAGAGCATGAACCTCTCTTGACTTGCTTGCCTGCTGTTGAACATGCTCTTGTCTACCAACTGATTACATTCGGAGGGAACAGAGTTGTTTATACTCCATCTTACTGTGAGCTGATCATAAGCTTATCCTTTCACCCGAGAGCAGGGTAGGCCATCAGTTCCCACACTAGACTGGAGCCTTAAAAGTCCCACCGCTGGAGTCCATATCGTAACAGCAAATTCCTCAATGGTGGATCCTGCCCAAGAGCCAAATGCCAACCTAAAATGGTAATAGATATGAGCTGCATAAATAGCTCATTATCATATTTTCATAATGGAAAGGAGCCAACGATAAGCATACTTTAACACCATCGAAAGAGGTGGAGGCAGATGGGAAGGTCTGATACTGAACAAGTTGGTTCTGTATTTAAGAGGCAGGAGCAAGAGATGGACATTTCATTTATTTATTTTTAAATTTTTTATAGCCAGCCATGTCAGAAAACAAATTACTCTGGGCAATGTACAACAAAGTTAAAAAAAAAACAGCAATACACAAATAACACATATTATTAATTGAAAACATTAAATAAAATGGAGCAGAAAATAATACAATGGGCAAAGAGATGTTCATAATAATGGAGCTACCTCACCAATTCTCTGAAATTCCCGGAACTGATAATACAACTAGGTCTTGAAGAATTTTCAGAAAGTCAGAAGCAATAGTGCCAGCCTAACCTTGGGGCGGGGGAGGGGGGAATAGTCCATAATACAGGCACCATAGACAAGAAGACCTGCCACTTATCGCCCACCAAATGTAACTCCCTAAATGAGGGGATCTGCAGCATTCCCTTTCTACTAGATCTGGTGGGATGGGAAAATGTAAAAATTAGGAAGTCCCTCAAAAAACGTGCCCCATGTCATGTAGGGCTTTAAAGGTCAAAAATGGGACCTTGAGTTGGACTCTGGAAACAAACTGATAACCGATGCAGCTCACGGACCAGAGGGGTAATGTGTTCTATGAGGAATATAACTTCCTGTGCTGTTGCATTTTGCATCACCTGAAGGTTCCAAATACTCTTCAAGGGCAGTCCCATATAGAGATGGAGAGTGTCTAGTCTGCCTCCCTCTGCCCACTTGGGAATTGACTGCTTGTCCTGCTTTTGGGGCCATGCTGCCTGCCAAGTGACAAAGACGTCCATGTTTGATGTCTGAAAAACTATTGTGGAAATCAAATACTATCTGCTACATTGTTGACATACAGAGACCAAAGTCAAGTAGGTTTAGTAAAATTATTTGAATCTGAATGCATTTCCCTCTTTTTGAATAGCGCAACTCTATAGTGAACATACGAGTGCCCAGTTAAAGTAATCTTTGCACTGCCAGGCTTTGTGTTTCTGGCAGTGTTATGACTAAGGCCCATTCACCACTTACATCTATCTGCAGTACAGACATGCCCTAGCATTCTCCCCCCTCTCCCCAAGCCCTCATGACATTGTCCAAGCTATAGGTAGATAGTTTATCATTGGAGTAACTCTGCCTTCTGGCTCCTGAGATTTGTTTCTCTCCTTTAGCCATGGCAGTGTATACTTGGTAACTACAGTACTTCCCTCTGCGTGCATTATGTGGGGTGACTTCAAGGGCATCCAGAGAAAAAGCCACATGCATGTGTGTGAGGTCATAATATACAAACAAATGTCCCATGACAGTGTGATGTGGCTTTCTTTATCCCCTCCACCCCTTTACCCAATGGCCCTGCAGATATTTCTGGAAGGTTTTGCTTATTCAGACACTAGTTACTTTAGAAAAAAAATCCCCTGCTTTTTGCAACGCAAGCATGTTGAGTGAAGATGGAGGCAAGGGGCTGAATTGCTGGCTGGCTGCCATCTTGTATGCCTTCTTCTTCGCCATAAATTGATGCTGTCAATGCCATACTGCAGTGAGGAGAAATACTGTTCAGTCTCTTTGCTGTGGAGCCTTCCTCCTTCCACTTTTCTCCCTCCAAGCATCAATCTGCATAAAATAATCACTAAGCATACTCAGTCAGCATTAAATTATTTCTGGATTTCCATTTCCCTTAAGTTTTGAAAATCTCAAGAGTTTCTCCAAGCCTGTTTTGTCTATATAAGACATTTACAGCTTAAATCTAAGAAGTAAGGGGCATGTTTTAATTGCTATATATCAGCTTGGGATATTACAAAGTGAATGTTGTAGTAACATTGCTCATTTGCAGATAGAAATAGAACTGAGGATCTGAACACACTGCATGGGTTTAAGATATACTAGATTTTATTGGACTTTTGAAATTGTACAAGTGCAAACATAGATAGTCCTTCTTGTCTTATGCAGAACTTCATTGATTTACTCTTTTCTTTCTGATATTTTAGAAACTGGCCATGCTTCTGATCAAGTTCTTGGAGAGAGTTCTCCAGCCATCTTGTCAAGTGACATGCTTGGAAAGCATACGAATTCTGTCCCGGGATAAAAAATGCCTTGGCCCTTTCACCACCATGGAAAGTTTGAAGACACTAGCCAGGCATGCTGGGATTGTTTACAGGGAAGAGCAAATCCTGGAGGTTCCTGATCTGGATGTAATTCTGGAGGCACTTAAATGCCTCTGTAATATTGTCTTCAGTAGTCCCCGGGCTCAAGAACTGATGTCTGAGGCTCGGTTTGTGGTGGGCCTTGCAGATCGCATCAAACTCTATAATGAGAGAAACTTCCCCCATGACATAAAATTCTTTGACCTGCGCCTTCTCTTTTTATTGACGGCACTAAGGGTGGATGTTCGGCAGCAGGTTGCACAAGAACTTCGCGGTATTGGTTTAATGACAGATACCCTGGAACTTACCTTGGGAGTGAAATGGATTGATCCTCATGAGGTAGCCGCTAAAGGGGATCCTTCCCTACCGTTACCTCGGCAGGAGACAGAGCGTGCTATGGAAATCCTGAAGATCCTCTTCAATGTCACTTTTGATACCAACAAAAAGGAAGTGGATGAGGTAAGACACCCCGAAGTGACCCTGAGTATTTCATTCATCGTCTTTATTCTTGAGGTAGTCCTCAAGTTACAATCATTTGTTTAGCGGCTGTTCAAAGTTACAACAGTACTGAACAAAGTGAATTACAACTGGTCCTCGTGCTTAACAGCCATCGCTTGAAATCCGGCATGTATTTATAATGGTTGCAGACCCCCAGGATCATTTGATTGGTGACCTTCCTGGCTGGTTTCTGACAAATCAGAGGGAGAAGCTAGATTGGCTAAATGACCACATGATTCACTTAACAACTGCAGTGATTCACTTAACAATAGCAAAAAAAGGTCATAAATTGCTCATGACTCATTTAACAACTGTCTTGCTTAGCAACAGAAATTATGATCCCAATTGTGGTCGTAAGTTGAGGACTACCTGTATTCACCATTTCATTTCACCTATGATTTCTATAGTTAGAGACATGTTTCAAGTCTTCCTGGATGTCCACATCTGGGATACACCAGGAATGAACTCCAGATTATAAGAGGAAACTTGCATTAATTGCCCTACAGCTCTCCCCCTTATTTGCTTAATTACTGTGTTCCTAGGCCAATCCAATCCCAAATGCCTGGGTGGTTATAATAAAAGTAAAAAATAATGTAATAACTTGTAAGGAAACATAAAGCTATAAAGCAGCTCTCAGTTGTTTTGGGCTGAAGGTATGTTGAAATAGGGCATTGCTCACTTGTTTTTGAAATGCAAGGATGGCCTGGATTATATGTTGCCTCCATAAAATACAGGTTACCACTGAGGAGGCTTGCTCTCTTGTCCAGGGTGCAGGTACCTTCCAAGGTGTGGGGGACTTCAGGAGACCCTTTCCAAATGACCAGGCCAAACCAGCAGATATTATTATGTCATGGTTATGTCATGGATATTACTTACCCAGCACTTCTTTATAATGTCATAAACCATGTTTCAATAGAAACATAGCATCAGTTTCTTGACCCCCATCTGTTCCATTAAATTAGATTTTTTCCACTCTTCAAACTACATAATGTGATTCTTCTTAGTTTCAAACTTATTCTATGTATGTGTTTATGTATTTGCCCAATGAACTGCTTTTGTGCATGTAGTGACTCGCTATAACAAGGTTTCTTGGTTACATATACATGCCACAAAAATGATTTATGATACTATTTCTTTAAAGCCATTTATTTCTATATTGCAAATACGTAAAATCCTGTTTGCTTCCATTATTTTAAAATATGATAGTTCTCTCTGGTACCAGTTGCTCAAATTTTTCAACATAGTTTGGCTTTGAAAAGTTAGGGAAATAAATTGTTGTTGTTGTTGTTGTTGTTATTATCATTATTCCTTCAAGTCAGTCTTGATCCCTGGTGACTGCATGGTTGCTGCAATTTTCTTCACAACCTTTTCAGAAATGGCCTTTTTCCCAGGGCCAAGAAAGAGTGACAGACCCAAAGTCAACCAGCTGGCTTTGTCCCTAAGGCAGGACTGAAACTCCTAATCTCCTGGTTTCTAGACTGTTATATTTAATCAAACTGGCTTTCAGGAAAAGTTAAAGACCTATTAAATTTGTATGCCTAATTATACTGTTAAAGGGGATGGAGAGAACAGATTTATTGGCTTAAAATAAATCTCCCTATCATGCTACCTTCCAAATGTATTAGACTACATGATTGTATTGGTTGGAAATTCTGGAAATAGGAATCAAAACACATATTACTTGTGATCAAAAACTCAGCAAATTATTGAAGAATCTGAAATGGCTGGACGAAAAGCCAAAATGTTGTTTATTTTAGTAATTTATAAGAAAGCATTGCCATTACTTGTCTTTTATTTCTTTTAAAATTGAAAATTTCAATTCTTCATGAACCTAGCTTGATTCTATTGTTAACATTTGCCTTGTTGATATAACAGTTATTTTATTCTCAGTCTTGCATTCTTATTACCTAACATTTTCTTGTTATTTTGCAAAATTTGACATTTGGGGGAAAGAAAACTTGAAGAAAATTGTGGGTATTCAGTAGACATACATAGGGAAATAAATGCCAGATAAGGCAGTTATGCTAATTCATCTGTTGCTATGGCTTTGCAATTTGTAACAAATTAGGGAACCAGGAATTTACAGATCCTTTATTTTGAGTATGCTAATTTGCTTTGCAGATTTTCAAATTCCATGTATGCCATTTCCCCCTTGAACTCAAATGTATATTTGATTCTGAAAATGCATTGCTGGAACAGTATGTGTCAATAAGCAGATTGCCTAAAATAAAAAATGAGCTCTTTTCTCGTAGTAAAGGTTTTAATTTTGTTTTTGGGCCAGGAAGATGCTGCTCTGTACCGACGTCTAGGTGCCCTTCTCCGTCACTGCCTGATGATTTCAGCAGATGGCGATGATCGGACAGAAGAATTTCACAGGTGATTGTCTGTATTACCAATACAACAAATATAAACTACATATAACAATATTAAACTATTGATAGTTGGTAGGTTTAGTAATAAAAATAGGGGAAGAAGAGGGAAAATGTGGAAATTTTATAGTAACTAATTATAGAATAGCTAAATAAATTGGACTCTGTTGCTTAAAATATTTTTCCGACTGTTAACAAAAACCATGTATCTCCTTGCATAGTAAAATAAATGTAGTATCCTACTTATGTGCCCCAATATCTACCTGTAAATCACTTCCATTTTGACATGGAAAAAAAAACATTGACTTCGGGTTTTGCTGATTAGATAGGTTTGTTGCTATAGAAATGGTTGGTACACATTATGTAAAAGTAAAAAATTGAGGTAGTATGTTTTTTTCTCATTCTATTGGGCTAAAAAGAGTCAGATCAGTGCTTTTCTTTCTTTTTTCCCCTTTACCGTACACTTTTTTCTTTCCCCTTTTCCCTCCCCTTTTCTCATTATTTTCATTTGTATTTTATACTTTGATCAGTTTAATAAAATAATTAAAAGAGAAAAATGTGGACCCTAATATAGTATACAGTAATTCTTAGAAGTGAAAAAAGAATGCTATGACTGAGTCTGCTTTAGTGTTGAAAAATTAGGCAGCTTATGTAGAGTATTAAAAAAGTAGAGTTTTTTAGTATTCTGCTTGATGTAGACACAGGTGATAATAATTTTATGTAGAGATAAACATTATCAGCAGGAAAGGCTCTTTTAAAAATATTGCTGTTACTGCTGGAAATTTGCCTATGTAGTACACGGGAGAAATCCTTCCCTAGTGAAATCATAGTAGGAATTTAAGAAAACATTGAAAATGCCTCTCTTCCACTGCTTTTCATTAATTGAACTAACTTTGATTTCATTGATGTGAATTGTAATTTTCCTTGAATTTATTTATAATTGGGATTATTCTTGTATTTTATCATTTGTGTTTTGAACTATTGTAAACCATGTTAATTGTTGTGTAAGGAGAGACACATATACTGTACATTTAATAAATAATAGTAAGTGGGTACATTGCACATTATGAACAAGAGATCTGTCAAATTTGTGACTTCTACCGGACTTCTACTATAAAAATGGTTATATAACAGCAGATGGAGGAGAAGATGATGGAAGCCTGAACTAAAAAGGAATGGTTTGCTATTGTTAGACACGGCACAATTTGAAATTTATTCTCCTGTTGCTAAAACCTAAAAAGTACTCGAGTTTTCAGAATGAAACAGCCTTTCATTTATATTGGTTGCTAACTTCTTCCTGTTTTACCTTTTATCCTTCCTTCAGCCATACAATCAATCTTTTGGGCAATCTGCCTCTCAGGTGTTTAGATGTTTTGCTGACTCCCAAGGTCCACCGAGGCTCCCTTGAATACATGGGAGTCAATATGGATGCTGTCAATGTTCTCCTGAGTTTCCTTGATCGACGTCTTGATAGGGTGGGTAAAGCAAAACAAGCAAGCAATTTGATTTATGATGATACCCATGTTTGATTAGAATTCATTTAAGAGTCTATCCTGTGCTTAAATATATGACATTTGCCCTACCACACGAAGATGGACATTTCAATTATTTATCACTCCGTAAGAAAACTTATGTAATGGCAATTTGCCTGGCAGTAAAGAGGTAGCAACAGGATAAATTATTGGTTATTATCTGACATGAGAGTAGGTTGAATAGAGAATATTCCAGAAATGCATTGCCCCATTGGTTGTTTGGTTGATACAACATCTTACTAGCTTGTGAGAGGCAGATTTAATTTTTGGAATAGGAAACATTACCACTGATTTGCTTTCTCATTTTCTCTATGTTGCTGTTTAATTATCATCATAGCTCCATTGCCCTATTTTCTCCAAAGCCAAAATAAGAGTTTAACAAGGTATATGTTTATACGCTTCCAAACTAGTTTAATAGTGTATATGTCTTTGCGGTCCTGTGACAAAAATGGCAAACAGTATTCAGTCAAAGTAAACATTAAGTAGCTAAGGAGAGAATCCAATAGCCAAGGTAAACATCCCTCAGCAGGGTGCCATTACTTCCCAAGTAGGCATACTACTGTAGAAATCCTGGCATACTTGCAAACATACCTGAAAACACTCATTGAAGGCAATACCCATAGAGTTCATAAGGATGAGCTAGAAATCACAACAAAGTCAAAACACAGGCTTCTGCACTCTCTATCTTCCAAAACTGAAAGACAAACATTTTAGGATGAAGAAGGCAGTGAAGTACTTTTAGGACATGGGCACAACTGAGCACATACCACTGAAGAGATTTTCTTTGCCATGTTTTTGAAACTATTTTATGGTGTCAGTGAAGAATAGAGATTAGAAAGCTCCTTTTCTTGAAATAAAGTCATCAAGCATTGATGAACTTTGGAACCAGGTCATAAGTAACTTTTTTTTTTTGGAGGGGGGAGTCCATTATAACTTTGAATAATCACTAAGGGACTGGTGAGACGTCAAAGACTATCTGTATACAAAGCAATTCTCATCCAGTCAGACATTCATGCAGAAGAATATTGCTTTTTGCATGCATTAATGCTAGGATTTTTCATTATGTAAAAAAGAAAAGACTCCCTCAAGTCAACCTGACTTCTTAGTGATTGCACAAATGTGTAGCAGCTTTTGGCAATAATACAAAAGTGATTTGTAGTTATCTTTTTCTGTGAATTTGTTAAAAAAAATGCCCTGGTCTAGACTCTAATTATGGGATGTCTTGATAATTTTCTTTCTAATTACTAACTAGGTTTGATCCTGCAGAGGTTTTTTGGAATCAAACTTTGAATAGATGCGGCTACCTGCTAGGGCATTCATTATATAAAAAAACATTGAATACGTCAGGACATATAAACATTGAATATGTCAGGGCATGAATATGTCAGGACATGAAATTGTAGCAGCAGTTGCTGAAGGAAAATTGGGGAGGAAATTTTATGTAGAAATGAAATTTAGGTAGATGGCTTTCATAAAACATGTTTTTTTGTCTTCAGAATTGCTCTGGTCAGTGTGATGTAGTCTCTTGTTGACCTGTAGTTACTCTGCAATTTTAACTAACATGGTTGATTTTCACTTTAAAAAAAATCCATACCTACAAACCATTTTCATGCATAGAAAACTTAATGTAGAGTTGATTAAATCTCTTTCTTTTTACTCCTCTTTCACAGGGTCACAAACTCAAGGAGAGTCTTACTCCAGTGTTGAACTTGCTGACTGAAAGTGCCCGGGTCCATCGACAGACAAGGAAATTCCTTAAATCAAAGGTACCATTTTAATCAAGCAAGACCCATAAATTAAAATTTGCTGAGCCAGTTACAGTATGAGGCCAAATTTATTTAAAAGACAATGTACAGCATTGATAGTATGAAACTGTCTTTCTGGTGCTATTGGAATGCAATCTGTGGATATCAGGATATTTCTTAATAAAGTTCTGAGGGAGATTTTTTTTGTATTCTTGCATTTTCTGGATAGTGCAATTGCTATATAAAATGTAAAGACTTTCATGTTGTGTTGTATTCTGAATGATCATATCCCTGCATTTCTTTTGGTATTTCTGTGGAAGTAATTTGCAATTGGTTTCCTCTACTTTTTTTCTAGAATTCGCACCAGAGCTAACCCTGTTTAGTTTCCAAAATCAGCCAGGGGTGACTAGTTGCTACCACTGAGACAACATATCTTTATAATAGGTGATCAGGAGTATGTGGTACTCAGCAAGCACAACAAGTGGTTAAAGAGGAGAAATGCATTTGAGTATTTCTCTTAATTCTATTTTATCATTTGCCAAGCAAAGGGGGAAACTTTTGTCACTGTTATTCAAGGATTTGTAATTGAGTTTTCACAGTATAATTCACGGTGAGGACTGAGCTGCAAAAAAGAGTCTGTGGGCTGTATGTGAACCATACATTGCTGGTTTCTTATTTAGAACATAAATGTTTGGTATCCCTTTCAGGTAGGTACATGTTCACCCAAGTCACTCTGGCAAGGCAGAGGTTAAGTAGAGCCCGTTTACTGCTTACTTATCACAGTGTCAAACAATCCACCTACGGTGCCATTGAAGCTCCTCCCCAGCCCTCAGTTTTCCCTTAGTCTGAATTCTCTGGTTCACAAACTAAGTCCTAGCTGACCCACCAGGTAAAGAAGGGAGTAACATTACCCACAAGTACACAAGTCCAGAGTTCCCAAAAACCCAAACAGGAGAAATTATCAATATATCAGTACATTAAGAAGGCATCTGTATTTAGTAGGATGAGATTAATCTTTCTGAAGTCATTTTCAGGGCTTCATGAAACCAAGTTTAATATGGCTCTAAGGATCACTTATGGCTTTCCATGGATTCACAGATACTTCCTCCATTACGGGATGTGAAAAATAGACCTGAGGTGGGAAACCTGCTGAGAAATAAACTTGTACGCCTCATGACTCATATTGACACGGATGTGAAACACTGTGCTGCTGAGTTCCTGTTTGTACTCTGCAAGGAAAGTGGTAATTATCCATGCTCTCACTTGTTCATCTCGGGCCTGTTGTATACTTGCAGTTTGAATAAGTAAATAGGAACAAGCTGATCCCTCTGAGATGTTATTTGGATGGTGGTTGAAAATTAAAAATGCAGGTAAACTGGGATCTCATAGGTTATTGGATTAAATTATATTGCATGGAAATGAAGGGAAATGTCATTCACTGGACCAATTTTAAAATTAGGGAAGAAGATAAATAAACTTGAATAAAATGTGCTGCTACCGGGCTTGGAATTCGTTGTAGCTGTTAATCAGACTTTTCCTCACAGCAAAGCCACTATTGGTTTTCTTGAACATTACAACAGGAAAAGTACCTTTGCAAAGATGCCTTTTTCAGATAGTATTTCTCTTTTAAATGCTTTGCCTTGTAGACAGTATGCAACCTTCTAACATATATGACATCTACCTAATTTTCCTATTTGAGGAAAAGGTAAGGAAGTGGCCTGAAGAAGAATAAAATTAATTTTTTACCAGGTTCACTATAATATTATATAAGAATGATTCTAAACAAGTGGTGACAATCAAAAAGTTTTTCTAATCCAAATGAGTCATGCTTCCATCCAGCTGTATCAGTAACAGAGAGGAATCCTGTTGGTCAGCTTAGCTTCTTCCTTATCTGTGATTTGTGGGTTTGCAAGAATGTACCTCCTTGATAAGCTAGTCTGATAAAAATGAGATGTATTTGCTACTATTTCAGTTCATTTGCTTCTACACTAATGAGAAAGTTTGACCTTCTATCTCAGTGGTGGCGAACCTATGGCACGGGTGCCAGAGGCGGCACTCAGAGCCCTCTGTGTGGGCACGCGTGCCGTCACCCCAGTCCTAGAGCTTCAGCTGGGTTTTATAAAACCTTTTCACTTTAGGCCTCCGCTGCCGTGTGCAAAAAAAAAAAAAAAGTTCAATCGGTCAATTTCAACTTCTTGTGGGAAAAAAAAGATCTTGCAAAGTTGGAATTGATTGAACTTTTTAGTCCCACCCAGTCTGCCGTTATCACCGCAGCCGCAGCCGCACCCACCCAATGGGCCGCGCCCACCCAATGGCCCCCCCCCCCGGCACTCAACGATGCAAAAGTGGGTTTTGGATTGCAGTTTGGGCACTCGGTCGCTAAAAGGTTTGTCATCACTGTTCTATGTCTCCACAGTGTCACGGTTTGTGAAGTACACGGGATATGGAAATGCTGCTGGTCTTCTTGCAGCCCGAGGCCTCATGGCTGGGGGACAGACCGAAGGAGAATACTCTGAGGATGAAGATACTGATACAGAGGAATACAAGGAAGCAAAACCCAAGTAGGGATGCATTTCATACTTTGCTTCTTTAAATATGATCTTTGATTCTGCTTCTTTGGTGCAAATCCCTGTCATATTTGGATGTTAGAATCTTAGCATAGAAGGAATCCATTTGCAGGATCCATTAAATCAACCACCCTCCCTATGAATGTCACAGCTGTTTTACAAAGCCCGCTGCTTAAGAGCTCTTACCATCAAAAATACCTCCTGATACTCAGTGGAATCTCATTTTTTAAAAAGACCTATTGCTTTTTGACTGCCCCTGCCTCATTTTGTTATTTGATTTCTCTTAAGTTTCTTCTTTTCTATTTGTTTCTTTGTTCAGTGGTCTCTTTCTTTTCTATTTGTTTCTTTGTTCATGGTCTCTTTCACTTCTTGCCAAGTTATTCACAATTAGACAATTCCTTTTACTTCCAGCTCTTGACCTAATTGACAGTGACAGTTATCAAGAGGCAATTGCCCAATAGATATGCACAAAGTTGGACTCTAGGTATTTTGACATTTTTTAAAATTACATCTTATTTTAAAATTGGAGGAAGGTGAAACAAGAGGGAAACATGTAATGTAATATATGTTCCCCTCCTGCTTCACTTTCCTCCAATTTTTCTGCACACATTTATTGTACGCTTACATACATTTAGTGTAACGTGTAGAAAGGCAACTGCTCTATGTAAGATGTATTAAACAGAGAATTTCCTTGTAATTTTAGAAGCAAGAAAATTAATTAACTTTAGAAGTAACAGAAAATTAATGGACAAAACTAAATAAAGAAGAATAATGTAATGGACATGTTTTGGGAAGAGAAATCCAACATTATTTGAATATTCTGTATAGTTCCTCTTCATTTTAGTAGCATGTGTTTGTGTTAATCAAATGCATATTAGAGTTATATTTTTAGGCTACTCAATATATCCATTAAAAAACAACATCCAAGAAGGGAATATATGATATAAATTTTAGCACAGTTATCACATCTTCCAAGTCCCTGTGCCCTTTTGATTTTTACAAGCGGAAAAGCTGATTATAGTTAACTTCCTTAAAAAAATGAATTGGATTTGTTGATTCATTGTTTGTGTTTCATATATTCTACCTTCTTTTCTTTGGTTACTATGTGATTCAACTATTTAGCATTAATCCTATTACTGGACGTGTGGAGGAAAAGCTTCCTAATCCAATGGAAGGAATGACAGATGAACAGAAGGAGCTTGAAGCAATGAAACTGGTGAACATGTTTGACAAACTCTCCAGGTACTAAAAGATACAGCATAATTATCCAGAAATGGATTGTTAGTAGGAGAACAGGCTGAAAGAAAGCAATTGGTTAAATCAAAACCTCTAAAATACAGAATTACAATGGATTCAGACAAGTTATTTCAAACTATTTAATTTTCTTTGGACTAATTTACTACTCAGTTTGATGGTTCTGTTAATATTGGAAGAAATGTCTGCAGGCAAAACTGTGAGCCCAGAGGATGGTTGAAGAGATTGATTTAGTCTTCCTCATTTAATTATATTACCATAATCTCTGCGCTGAAAGGAGCTGAAGTGGTGCTCTGCCTTCAAACTTCAGTAAAATTATCCAGGATAGATTGACCGTAATAGTTGTCATACTATGGTTTTTAAAACATGTTTGGTCTTGCTGGAAAATCTTGCTGTATGTAAAAAGTGGGAAGTTTTAAGAGGTGAGAATAAGAAATCTGTGACAAAGCCTGAAATGATATCAGAAAGAATTGCAGAGCAATTTTCTGGTTAGTTCAACAGAAAAGGATATTAGGGCTATTACTTACAGTGGCAATTCTAACATTGGCTTGGCCTTACTACAGAACATTAAGGATCCCAAAATCATATTCTTTTTAAATATATTTTATTAATTTTTTACAATAACAATCCTTAGTGCTTAGTAAACAACATGTTGTCTGGGTTCATATATTTAACAATTAATAATAATTAATTTCTATAATTCCACAGTCAACATATTAGCTAGCTAGTGATACATTTCCTTGATCTTCTCTTCTTTCAGTAGTAGTAGTAGTAGTAGTAGTAGTAGTAGTAGTAGTAGTAGTAATATAATAATAAAGTTGGAAGGGACCTTGGAGGTCATCTAGTCCAATCCCCTGCTCAAGCAGGAAACCCTATACCATTTCAGGCAAATGGCTGGCCAGTCTCTTCTTAAAAACTTCCAGTGTTGGAGCATTCACTGCTTCTGGAGGCAGGTTGGTTAACTGTATTCTCCTTTTATCAACATTGAGCAAATACAGTTCTTAGTACTTTTGATACATACAAAATTGAATGTAAGCATTTTTCTAGTGTTTATAGAGAATAAAATAACATCAGTGTATAACATCTTTTCTAATCAGCTTGCTTCAGTTGTGTTTGCAAAAGGTCATCTTATTAAGTCACTATAGATTTTGTTTTCAGAATTCTTATTTAAGTTTAACTTCCCCTCAGTATTCAAAACATTCTTGTCAGTTATGATTTTCTCAATATTAATTACATTTACGTATCCAAACATTTCATTTACATAAGCCATCCCAATACTTTTACATTTCCTATCTCATAAAAAAATACTATACTACTTATAAATCTCATCCCTCTTACTTTAGGACCCATTTATATCCAAAATTAATCTATTTCTTTTAACCATATTCAAATAAGTGTTTAGTCATATAGTATTTCATCTGGTAAATCAAATCATCTGATCTCTTGAATCTGACTATAGCTTTCTTCTTTTGCCAAGTAGCTTTCCAAGTCAGTATGTTCAGCTTGCCAGTGGATTCTTCCTGTGTTTTTACTAATGTTGTTGGGAATGGGAATGGGAAACAAATTCTCACTTTTGGGGGATTTTTTCCAGGAAGTCAGTTACAAAGTAGAAGAGAAAAGATCAATATTCTCACCTAGTTCCAAACATGTTGTTCACAGTCTGTTCTAGTTAGTGTTTTGGACTTCAGCTGCCGGTAGCTTGGGCTAATCATCGGAGTATAGCTAGCCTTTCTCCTGTAAGTTTGGAGGGCTTCCCCCAGATCAAACAGATTAACTGCCGTCTTTCCGTGATCAACGGGAGCCCCCTCCTTTGTCGCCTCTCGGGGGTGACTTTAGACCCATTTAGGGTCCCCAGGCAGGATGAAACCAGCCATGGGGGGCAAAGCCCCGCAATCCCTCGGCTGTGTCACTACGATGCAATACCGGAAGTCCCTCCCAAAATCAGGTTCTTAGGCTGAGGTCACACATACTAAATGGCCAATATGTTTTGCAGGGGGATATGACTTGACATACCAGTTTAATTATACAAATTATTTTGTTTTGGTTTCAAAATTCTATTCAGATTCTATGAGCATTAAAATGCTACTTGAGCCATATGAGGAAAGCATAATTTTATTACTTTAAACATCCTAATGGCACTCTTAAAATAAACAGAGTGGCTACCTGAAGAATATTAGGAAATTTGCATTTTATATTATTTAGTAGTATCCCCTGAAGAACATTCATGTATGAACTGTTCAAAAATTTGGAAAACAGCCTGTTAATAAGCTGGCCTTTTGCTCAATGAGTTTGCTTCCTAAAACCTTCACAAAATTGAGATTCAGGAGACTTAGTCATGTTTCTTTGGTAATTTAAAAGGAGCTTCACTGGCACTGTTGGTGGATCGTTTGACACTGATAAGTTTGCCATATATAGGTTCTAAATCCAGTATGAATTTCCAAATAAAGGTTTTTAAAAACTGAGCTAAAAAGGCATCTGATTGGGGCCAAATTGAATTACAAATCACTCAAGAGTTTTTCATATAAAACAAATAACAATTACATTTCAAAGTGTCTGTTTAGAATCCTTTGAAGTTTCATACCTTCTTCAAAAAAACGTCTGTTAGCAAAACCAAGTTGTGAATCAATCTCTGGAAATTTTAGGATTATTTTTGCTAGGAGTAATATTTTGTTTCAATTTTAACAAAAGGACTCAGATTCTCACACAAGATCTTCATAGCTTAATCAATGAATAAACACTTCATCATGTTCACTTGTCAGAAGACATTTCATGGCAGTTTCTGTAAGACTTTTCTCTAAGGTGAAATCATTTTTTTCATCACTGTTATTTCTTCTTTTTTTTCTCCTTTGAAGACAGCAAATCATCAGACCAATGGGCCTGGATCCTGATGGCAATTTAAGCTCTATCAACGTAACCTCCCTGGATGAAGCTGTTCATCAGATAGCTGAGCAGAGGTTATCATCTGATTCTGATTTGGAAATAGACTAAGTCATCCTTTTCTATTTCTCACAAGTCTATGGACCTGCTACTTTCTCTATATATCAGGACTGATCTTCTGATACAAACACCTGGAAAAAGACTTTTGGTGGCTTAGATTCCTCCACCCAGATCGATCTAATTTCTGCTTCGGCAGCCCTACAGCACTTCTTCTCTGGAAATATTTTTACAGCTTTGTCTTTCTGACTGTCTTTTCTCCTCAGTGTTTAAGAGTCTCACCCTCTGATGCATTCCAAAGTCTTTCCAGCATATTTGCATGGATGCAAGACAGGGTGATTTCAAATGAGCTTATAGCACATGGAACACTAAGAGTACATGCATGTAGTCAATTGTTTAGGAAGAAAAAAATGTATGAATTAGGACATATGTTAATCCCTGAGCCAAGCACAACATTTAAAACTGTCATGGTTGACACACAGGGGATCTGTAGGCAAATATGAATGTGTATGTATAGTATACATGTCTAGAAATATAAAAATGTGTGAACAAAGTAAGTGTGCATTTTTATGAATGTATTATTTGACAATCAATGTAGTTGCATAGCATTCCTTTTCAGAACACCTTAAGGATGGTTGGAAATCTTCACGAAAGAGCCATTGTTGAAAGTATGAGCGTGTGCATGTATTTTGTGTGTGTGTATCTGTGCGTGTGTGTGTAGGTGCAAGGAAGTACTTTAAATAAATATGGGAATGTAGAATTTCCTGGGAAGAAAGGAGAACTAAAGACAGGGAAGCCAACAATTGCAGTGAAATGAAGAGACAGCAAGTGGACCAGCTCTTTTGGATTCCTCTCCAGACAAGGAGAAGACTAAGGATTGCCCATATATGGTCCAGACAGTTGCTCCTCATGAAGTGTCCAGCAAGTTTAGCACTTTGGGAGACAAGAGAGCACTATCTCCATCCAAGCTGCAGTCAGTGTCTTTATAGACACATGGTTTGCATACTTCCTTTTTTAATCACTTGGAAATTGCTTACTAGCTGCTTTCAGAATCCTTGGAACAACAGATTTTAGAGCAATGAGTAAGTTTCCTTCCATCCTTAGCAAGAGAAGTTTTAAATTAAGTTTAAGGACTTAAAAAAATGTTTTTACTAAATAGCACAAAAGGTTAGAACATTGATTTTGAAAAATTAAAATTGGAATAAGGGTCCAGATAAATTTGAAATAAAATTTTGAAATTAATTATAAGAATCCTTCCCAGGGGGAAATGCTGTCCTTTTAGATTCTTTAAACAAAATATAATAACATTGTAAAAATTGGATTATGAAGATAATAAAGGGGAAGAACATTTAAACTTGACTTATTAGTACAGAATGGAACAAAATATTGTAAGATTGGACTTTTTGAGGGATACTTGTGAACAATGGCTCAAAAGTTAAGTTTCAGAATGTCTGCCGTTATAAAAAGACTGTGTTTAAAAGATGTTATAGAAGAGAACAAGTTTTCCTGGATAAGACTGAGATGACCTAAAAGTAATTTAAAAATGACAGGCTACAAAAATTATGTAGAAAAAGATGCTACACTGAATATAAAAATAAAACCGTTTGATTTCTTAATAATTAAAAGAGATATACAAATAATAAATAAAAAGAGTGACCTGGATATCTTTCCTATATTGGACTTACAAGAGACTTGTTAAAGTTTTGAAGAATTTTGTGAAAAGAATTGTGAGAATGAAAAAAAAAATCACGTTCTAAAACATTTGAAGGGATCAAAAATCAAGATTGTTAAAAGTAAAAGGTAGAAATATAAAATTGGTTTATTTGATTTAAGTTAAAATAAATGTTATCTCTGGTAATGCTTAATGAATATTTGCTGATCAAGGACTAAATGATGAAGTTTTAAGGATTTGTTTAGAGATGAGATCTAGTAAAAAGATAATTTGCATTTTAAGAGAAGATAAAAAGGATATTAAAATTGTTTATGCTTGTGGTGGGAGAAGTCTTTTCTTTATATTTTTCCTTACTATATTTTTTTCTTTTCTGTATTCTGCACTATTTTTTCTGTTCATTTTATTTTTTCCTAGTTTGTATTAGCATTTAAAATTTTAATTGTAATGTTTAATAAAATACCGCACAAAATAAAATATGGGGAATATATGGGAAAGAGATATATTTTGTCCACAATGAAGTATATGTAGATACAGTATTTGCAATAGGACTTTGATCTTTTCAGTCTAACACTACTTTTGTGTTCCTCCTCCTACGTGTTTAGTTGTCTGAAATAATATTGCTCTTTGAACTGTTGAGACAAAAGACTGCTTTATTTCCATAAATTATCTGCTTTATTTTCTGTATTTCAATACCATTTTGCATTCACAGGTTACTTTTATCCTTTACCTGAATTTAAACTTCCTAGTTTAGAAAGGAATTCCATTTCCCAGCTTGTTTTCATTTTACTAGCAATTCAAAACTTAGCACAAATGTACATTAAAAATTTTCATTGGAATAAACAAACCCTTCCAATACCAAGGTGTAGACTTCTGTCTTATAATTATTTGGGTAGTGATTCTTAAAAACAGATGGATATTTAAAAAGATGTAAGGCTTAGCTAAAATCAATGTGGATGATTCTATTTACAGAAATATTACGGCCAAGACAATTTTGAGTTGATAAGGGAAGAACAAAATATCAATTTCACTAATTATATGCTCAATCTGTCGTGATTGCTTGTTTGGAAGATCTAACCTGGCTTATTTATCTTTCAGCCACTTCTAATTTGGATTAGAAGAGATTTTGCTCACAGTTTTTGAAGATAACATAAGGTAGGAAAAGAGAATTCATGACTTTCCTCAGATTTTGCTGGATTACATTTCAAAGCATTTTTTACTTTAGCCTATTTTGGCTAAGGCTGTTGTGAGTTGTAATCTATCAACAAACATCTGAAGAGCTCTTCACTGTTATTCTAATGACTACTATAAAATGAAATCAAAAATCCTAAAAAGACACACCACCATCTCTTTTAAGGGGATAATAAACAGGAAACTAGTTAACTGATGTTGAGTCTGTTGAGGATACCTCACCAATGGATTGATAAAACTGAATTATAAGGATTTTTTGAAATATAAATTAAATAAAATCAAGGTCAGAGAATAAAAGCTTTAATCAAGAGATGCTGAAATGGCCGCTATCTAACAAAACGGCGCTATGTAACAAAATGAAATTCAATGGTGAAAAAAGCAAGGCTCTATTTAGGCAAGAAAAAGCAAATGTACAGGTATAGTATAGAGGGTACCTTGAGGGATCTCGGAGTCCTAGTGGACAATCGTTTAGATATGAGCCAGCAGTGTGCTGCAGCTGCCAAAACAGCCAACACAGTGCTAGGCTGCATTAACAGGGATAGAATCAAGATCACATGAAGTATTAATACCACTTTACAATGCCTTGGTAAGGCCACACTTGGAATACTGCATCCAGTTTTGATCACCACAATGTAAAAAGGATGTTGAGACTCTAGAAAGAGTACAGAGAAGAGCAACAAAGATGATTTGGGGACTGGAGGCTAAAACATACAAGGAATGGTTGCTGGAATTGGGTATGTCTAGTTTAATGAAGAGAAGGACGAGGGGGGACATAATAACAGTGTACCAATATCTCAGGGGCTGCACAAAGAAGAGGGAGTTATGCTATTTTCCAAAGCGCCTGAGGGCAGGACAAGAAGCAACGGATGGAAACTAATCAAGGAGAAAAGCAACCTAGAACTAAGGAGAAACTTCCTGACAGTTAGAACAATCAACCAATGGAACACCCTGCCTCCAGAAGCGGTGAATGCTCCAACACTGGAAGTTTTTAAAAAGAGACTGGACAGCCATTTGTCCGAAATGGTATAGGATTATCTGCCTGAGCAGGGGGTTGGACTTGATGACCTCCAAGGTCCCTTCCAATATTATTATTATTATTATTATTATTATCATCATCATTTATAGATTTTATTTTGCTTTAAATTGAACTGTAGTTGCAAATGCTACACATTCATCCAGCAGCTACATCATTCCTATATATGCTAGTCTTTACTAGAAATGTTGATGCATAAACAAGTTATCTTTTCAAATTATGTGTGATATCTGTGAATTAATATACACATTATTTTAAGAACTCTTGAAAATAAATAAGCTGGAATTCACTTTTGATAAAAACTGCACTCCCAATTTGATTTCTTCCAAATGGGTAGAAAATTGTGGATTCAGTATGAATGAAATACTGTAATACACTTGTTGAGGCTCTGAATAAAACACCACAGATTTCTACACTTTTTAAATGACTCAGAAATAATCCAAGTGGAAAAAGTTAAAAAAAATGGGAGAAAATTAATGCCTTCTAAAAGGGAGGTAGCAGTTACATTGAAAATGCTTGCAGCCTATCTTCATAGAAAATTAAATTAGAATTATTTGCAGGATCCAATCTGGATTGGTCACCGGGACCAGAGTTAGTCTTCATCAAATTATTTGGTTTTCATTTCCCCAACAGATTTGAAAACATGTCCTTCTCTGAGGTGTCAAAGATGTCCAATGAGTTAAATTATTATCTCCAGATAGTTGTTACTGTTACCTACTAGGTGAACAAAAAAATCCACTATCTTTTCACTTTGATCTGTGAATTTATCACTATAACCTTTGGCTGAGGCACACTTTGAGGAGTTAAATCTTTCCAAAAGTAGAGAATACACTTCTATTTCTTCTTCGTATCCAGCTGAAAACACAAAGAACATGGATTAATTATTACGACCTACACCAATGGTTGATGAGATATCCCCCCCCCCAAAAAAAAGTAGAAGTGAGGAAGCAAAGACTGTATTTAGTTACACAAAAACATTACTGCCAAATGGTAAAATAAACACAGAAAGAAGAACCAATTTTAACCACACTGATGTCTACTTGAACTTGAGCAGAATGGACTGATATTTTGCGTCATATCATTCTGGAGTGATCTTTAACTCGATGTGGATTTGAAAAACTTGCTTTTCGTGTGAAAACAAATATTTACAAATAAATAAAGGAACTGGATCTACTTACAGAATTTGTTAAAATACGATCTTTAAGGTGTACCCTATCTTGACTAATGGCAAAATATAAACTATGGCTTGATTTATGCATTGTGCCAAGACATGTTATTGTGCTGTATGAACCTAGTCAATGTAGTTTGTAAACAAAGATGATGTACAATTAAGCAGCTGAAGTTTATTCAGTAAATCATGATTTAATATAACTGAATTAAACCTACGCTGATATGCTATTAACTCCAATAGAATCTCAGAATCACAATTTTTTCAGTTGAATGAAATACTCCTGCATATACACATAGTATATCTACTCACAAAGAAGAGATTGAAGCATGCTGCCACCATAACTGCCTAACAAAAAAGTAAGATTTAATTGTTCAGTGTGATTTCACTTTATTTCAAATTATTTTGTTTTTATTATTAAGCAATCAATATTTAAAAAGATTTTTAGCCCTAAAGCTGAGAAAACAAACCTTCAGAATTTTATTGTAAGGAGTGGTGATAGATTGTGTGTATATATATAGAAAACACATATATACACATATTGTTTGGACATACATATAGTCCTTGAGTTATGACAGCAAGACTGCTGTTACTAAGAAATGCAGTTGTAAAGCACAATGCCATATGACTGCATTACTTAGCAATGGCAATCCATGCAATCCCCAAGACGTGTGGATTGTTAAGCAGGAAATTATAGAAGACCCAGATAAGCAACACAGAAATGCTGCAGGTGAATGGGGAGACCAGGCACATGATGTGCCTGAATTGGTAGTGTGCTGTGGTATACCGTGAGTGCAGGAAGGCCAAGGGGGGGGGCACAGGTTCACACGAATACAGGGACACGGGGAAGGAAGGCACTAGTGCAGAGAAACCAAAAGAAGAAGAGTGTGGTGCAATGAGCAGAAGGTGGGGGACTGACCAGAACCTTCCCTGCCAACTCCCCATTGCTGTCGCTTCTGAGAAGCCTATAGGAAAGGTTGCAAATGGCAGTCATATGACTGCAGGATGCTGCAACTTTTGTGAGTGTGAACTGGTTGCTAAGCAAATCATGACCATGTGACTTCAGGGTACTGCGATAGCTGGAAATTAGAGGAACTAGCTTAAGTACCATTTGTTCAGTTCCTCTGCAACTTTGGACTTTGAATGAGTAGTTGATACACAAGGAATACCCCAAACTATAACTGTATGGATTGTTTCCAAATCTTAAGTTTCACGTTACTGAAATGAATCATAAAATGCACTAAATAGTGACGTAGGACAGATTATATACCTAATCATATCCCTTGAGTTATCTGAGATGGAAAGTAATAGCATCCCATGGAATTGGGTGGCTATAAAAAATGTAAGTAAAATAAACCTATATGACTATGATAAATAATACTCTATATAAATTAAAGTCTTACCATTAATTTTATTGTTTTCATAATTCCAGCCAGCAAAATAAAAAGAGTGTGAGTGGCAAAGTTTTCAAATCAAAATATCATACCTTTTCTCTTTCCTTTTTTATTAGTTCCTGTAACTCCTCTTTCCAGCCCAACAGTTCTACCACTTTTTCCACTCCACTGATTACATCTCCCAGTTCAGCTACATCATTGTGCTGTGACTGGACCGCAAATGGCCCCACCAGGTCTCGATTGATCAGAACGCGGGGGACAGAACCACGGACAGCTCCTGCCAGACTAGCAAAGGGCTCCACCTAAAATAAAGCATTAGAAAGGAGAGTGGAGGGAGTTGTCCCTCTTGCAAAGTAAAGATTGCTGCACTTTGGGGTATTTTTTCTAAGAAAAAAATAGTTATAGATCTTCAAAGGCTAAACTGAAAGCTTACACCAAACTTCTCCTGAATTTGCCCACTCCATATATGTTAAGATGAGCTGGGCGCAAATCACAGGAAATTAAAAATGGTACTGTCAATATTTAAGATGATGATAGTACATTTATTTATATGCTGATTTTCCTAAGAGTCCTTAAAAGATATTTGAGTGAACCCTTCCAGCAAGAAGACCTGCAATAATGTTATTCCTATGGGAGAAGATAATGAATTCTTAAGGCTTAAGGCTTTACAGCAAGGGTATCCAGCCTTGACAACTTTAAGACTCGTGGACTTCAAATCCCAGAATTCCTCACCAGCATGCGGAATTCTGGGAGCTGAAGTCCACAGGTCTTAAAGTTCCCAAGGTTGGATATCCCTGTTTTACAGTATAATGAACTTAAAACTCTGACCTTCTTTCCCATCTCTTTTGTTGAACTGCCACCCTCTCATTCTCTTGAATTCTTATGGCTTTTCTCTGTTCTCCAGAGTCTCTGAATCACTTTGTCTTAAAAACCCATCTCTTATTCTTTTCCCATATCCATGATAGCCCAGACCTCAAGGGAGGTTCCAATGATAAAAAGCAGGTCTGCCCTAGGAAAGTCTGTCAAATGCAAAAAGAACCGATGAGGGAGGTCTTCTCCAAAGAATATAATATCAGGCTTGACCACTCCAGTGCAAACGGGGCATTTTGGAATTTTGTCAGTCATCACATCCCCCTGAAATGAAATCAGATAATAGGGATATGAGTTCCTAATCAGGCAGCACAAGCCACAAGACTGACATCGCAACAGAGGACAGTGCACACCAATACTGCAATAAAAACTAAGGTAATCCTATGAGCTTGCTGATGCAAAAATCGAGGATCTAGTTGAAATATGTGGATCCATGTGAAAGAGGAGCCAGTGAGTTTGGCAGCTATGTGGTTTCTTAGCCTGGCCAGTGGAAGGAGGCATAGCCTATCAATAGGAAGGAGCAGCCAGGAAAAGCTGAGAATTGAAGGAACATTACTGGCTGGTTACCTTTGCCTTTATCAATCTCTGCCTTGCATTTTGCAGGAATCACACTGCTAACTTCACTGTTATGTGAGAAAAGATGATAATGATCTGGGATTGTCTCATGAGAGATGTGGGGTAAGGGTGATGCTCCCTGTGAAGTGAAGGTAAAGATGAGGGTGTTCTAGTAGGACAAGGATTTCGAGGATTGTAATGTTACCTTCTTGGACGACTAGAATCAACAGAAGCAGGCTGACTACATTTGCATTAAAATTTTATATGTAATACTTGTACTATTCCTGAAGTGTTGTATCTGCTACACTGTGGCTTACCCTGAAATCTTCTCCTGCATATGATCTTCGACAGACAGTACACGTAGCGGAAGCAAATGTGCCATGAGCTTCAACTAGTTTATCTGGAGGAATTCCAGCAACTAGAACACGCAAGACAGAAATATCAGATTTGGTTAAACTATTCACCAACTCAAAGATATTTAAAATGGATAATCCCTCATCATCATCATCATCATCACCACCATCACCACAAATATTACTGTTGTATAATTTGCTTTCAATTTATCTTCTCAGAGCCAGTGGCAAGAGGCTCACCTCTCTCCAGCCCATCAATATTTTGTGTGTAGAGGCGCAGAAGGAGCCCTTTGTCAAACAGAAGTCGAAGAAAATAATGGGCATAGTTTGGTCTGTAATTGCCAGGGTACAATTCCTTAGCTAACCTGAAGAAAGGCTTGGGATTCTGGAAAAAGTAGCTAAGTTCAAATATGGCTTCAGGGTATGGAATATTATACTGCTGAAGGTTATTGTATAGCCCACTCCCAGGAGACCTGCAAAAAAGAAAAGTAGAGTAAAATTTGAATAATGATAGGCCAGGAAACCAAGTTCATTCAAGGGATCCCTACCTTTTGGTTCACTATTTGTATGGGATGTGTTTTTTTAAAAGTAGCTCATGTAAATAAAGGCAAGCACTGGATTAGGAACACTTTCCCCCCAAGTAATTAAGATGATGTATCAGGACAAAGTCTATTATGCGTTACAGGACTACCAACTGGTCAAGTGGAAGTTCCCAGATGGGAACAATTATTATTCCAGAAGAGCTCACATATACTGTTTTCTCTGTATGTGAAATCCAAATCTATATTGAATATGGATTGCAGATGATATCACTAATTTAATCAAAAACGTACATTTGTCAAATTATGCAATGTCTGCCTAGCTTCTTAGTCATTGTTCAACCCAATGAACGTATGATGGAGATCCACAAAGCCTTAGCAGAAGAAATGCATAGGTATGGTACTGAAATATTTAATTCAAGCTATCAACTGGTTAGAGAGCTAAGGAAAGGAAAGTGGTAAATGTATTTTATTTTTCAGTCAGAACAAAACATCCAGAATGTTTCATAGGAATGTTCCAAGTTAGAAGTATTTTGAAAAGGAAAAAAAACTATCCCAAGACGTCACCACAAAATACGGAACATCTGTATTTTGGATCTACCTCTGCCAGACGTGGCTTACCATGCATGTATGTGGGTTTTAATGAGCATGGGATAAGCTGAATTTGCTTTAAGGAAGAAGTTCACCTCATCCAACTTTAGGAAAGTGGTAGCAGATATTTAATTGGTTTCTGTTAGTGTCCATAAGCTACCAAGCGCAACAGGCAACACAACATTCCAATAGCATCACCTGAGACAACACAGAAATGACTGCCCTACCTGGTAAAATGAATTCATATACAGGTAGTCCTTGGGTAACCTCCACTTGTTCAACAATTGCTCAAAGTTACAGTGAGTCTGAACAAGGGGTACTTATGATGGGGTCCTTCAATTGCAGCTGTTGCAACATTCCTGCACACATGATTGCAATTCACGTGCTTGGCAACCAGCTTGCACTTATGATGGTGCAGCATCTCATAGTTAAATCATTGTGATTGGCAATCTTCATTCATAGCTTCCATAAGCAAAGTCAATGAGGAAGCCAGCAAGATACCACTAATGGCAAACGTGACCATCAGATGCTAGAACTACCTATGATTCTGCTAATGACAATTAGGGGAATGAGGACTGCTGGAACTGCCATTGTAAGTCAGCACAATCATGTGACATTACACTTTACAACTGTGTCATTTAGCAACCAAGTTCCTGTCCCAGTTACTATTGGTGAGGACCAACTGTAAAATAAGAGGATTTTTAATTTGCAACTAATTTATAAATTCAGGTCAGTTTGATCTGGTGGCTAAAGTGCTGGATCACAAGTGGGGAAACATGTGTTTAGTCTTGATCTAAGCATGAAAGCCAGCTGGATAACCTTGGGCCAGCCACTCCCTCTCAACCTTAGGAAAATGTCAGTGCAAACCACAGTTCTGAAAATGAAATAATCACATAACCAGGAGTCAAATCTGATTAAACACTAAATAAATAAATAAATTGGAAGTGTGTTAATGTCTTAGAATAGCAAGATCAAATGGGGAAAAAAGGGAAGTAAAAGGCCAAATGATTCTTAGTCAATAACACTAACATTATTGTTAGCAATACAGTTATTCTTGAGGACCTCCAAAAAAATTCTTGAAGATACATTTCATGTAGTCCAAGCATCTCTCTCTTTTTTTGCGAAGAACTACTGCACTACTAATTAAAAAAAGAAACAAGGCTCTGTGTTGGGAGAGGCAGAAAAACAACACTGACATTTCCCTACAGTTCTAAAAAAATACCCCTATTTGAGCCTCTGTTATTTAACACATGATGAAAGCTATGTGAAATGAAAACAGATTTCATGGATGACCCCATTCCTGTGTCTTGGTGACCTGAATGCTTATTTGGTTAAAGCTGGCAAAGCCATATGAGTAGTTCCATACAATACCTGAAATCTGGAATCCCACTTGGAGTACTGAGTCCTGCTCCAGCCATCACTACTATCCTATGGCATTCTTTCTTCTGGATGTATTCCATCACATCTCTTAGGCTGAGCTTCTTATTTCCACCGTTATTTCCTCCTCCGCCAATTCCAAAAACTACTCTTGAGAATGTAGATAGGGACAAGAACCTTACTCCCTGGACCCTGCAGGCAACATAATCAGTAAGCATGCTTTAGTTTATAAAGAAGCATACTTATATTATAAAGAAAAAATAAGAACTAATATTCCAGTCCAGGATGATTTATAAGAATATCCATCTATGGATTGTTATCTTCTAATTTATTCAGAAAAGGATCAGCATGAGATTTTCCTTTTCTCTTGGTGCTGAGTTGAAGCAATCTTCACCCAGCCTTTAGCTGACAGAAAATTATACTAGTGTACAACTTTCTGTTCCCCTTCCCAGTTCCTATTCTCGCTCATTCAAATCATTTGACTTCCCTGATAATAGATAGTAAGAAATGTTATACAGATTGTCCTTGGACCATGCCAAGGTAAAGGGGAAAATAACACCAGTTCAGCCAAGGATGTCTTAGGGCTTTCTCATTCATGGACTGAAGTTAAGATGAAGGCAACATCATGTGGATATAGTAGAAAAAAAGACTCTGTTGGGCATATTTGTGCCATACTTAGATTCCATGGAGAACAAAGTGTTTTTAATGATTAGACAATTCCATTTAAAGTTCAGGCCAAAACAGACAATCAACGGTATCATTTCTCATATATAAGGTGACCAACTTTTTTACAATGAAAAGGAGGACACAAATAAATTGAAGAAAAAAATACCATCATTTTATTCATTGCAACAATAATACAGACAACTTGCATGGGCAAAGTTTGCCAGCCGGGTGTTTTGGCACGCTCAGCAGCAATTCCTATTGGCTTTCGAAAGCCAATAATGTGAGTAGCACAGCTCATGCAAAAGTTGAAAAAAAACCTATCAAAAAAAAAAAAAGGTGCCGGAACGCCGTTCTGAGCGTTCTAAGAGAAAAAAAAAAAGCCCTGCAGATTAGTCTTCAAATATCGAAAAGGAGGACATGAAGGAGGACACTTTTTGAGGGAGGACAGAACTTGCAAAAGGAGGACTGTCCTCCCTAAAGGAGGACGGTTGGTCACCTTATCATATAGCATCTCATAAGTTTGCTAGCTCCTACTTTTTATGCAAAAAAAGCACTTTTTACATGTTATGTAAAATGTGGTATTCATCACGACTTTTTTGCATCTGAGGATGCTTTGATAGACTTTCAAGAGCAGGGTATTAGATATACCGTATCTGCATGATTAAAGTTGATTAAAGTTTAATAGTTAACAACGAAGTTGGGCCTTGATATGCAGTATGAAAGTGCATAGCTGAATGGAGGCAATATCTGACATATATTACTGTAACTTCCCTCCAATCAGCACTAAAGCAATTTCAGATGCAAGAAGTGGCATTGGCCAAAAATGATAGCCATTCTCCTAAATGTCTTACCCCACTGATGAGTCTGCATCTGTCAGAGCAGCAATGTAGAAGATATATTATATTATCTGTTCTAATAACCAACTTATTTTGCTTTACTTGCCAAATATTTAGAACCTGTTTTGAAAAACAAGGATTCTATCCTGATTTTATACTGAATTTTTATGGAAAACACAGAAGACAGCTTGGAAAAATAATCTGGAGATTGAATGCAACCCAGTATCACAAACATTTCCTCCATAGTAATATCATTACTATGATTTTGTCCTTGCAACAAAAATAAAGTATTTTTACATTATTTTAAATAATCTTAAATTTTATTAAATACTTTTTAAAAATTGTATGCCTTTATAACTGTACATTGTATTACAACCTTTGGATTAGAATACTTAAAGTATTTTATATTAAGTTAATGACATTTTAAAATATATTTTATGCAGAGAATAGCCTTTTACATGCTTTCTAATCTAATACCACACAGAACAAGTGTCCTTTGGATCCTTTCCTTTTGCCAGCAATAGAACTATCATGAGAATGAGAACTTTGAACCTGAAAGGTAGTTTATTATAGGCTTACAACAAACATTCAAAAATCTCCTGAGTTCTAATGAGCCTTACTCTTAAATAAGATTTAATAGAATTTCAAGTTAAAGAATATTTACACAAAGGATATCAAGCCTTACCTTATTCCAGACAAATCTGTTGTTTTTTTTAAGCTACTTTCTGAAGTCTTCTGCAGCAAATGTTTTCCATGAGGAAAGCAGAGGACGGATCTTAATGGAAGTAAGGGAAGATTTTTGCAAGCTGTCAGATTGGAAGAATTTCTAAAATGCTGATGCTGGGCATACATCCAGAGATCCCGAAACTTCCATCCTAAAAATAATTAAAAAACATTTTTGGGATAAATATTGAAACTGAAGTATCATTTTGTAGAGGAATGACAAACAATTTAGCTCAGCAAAATAAAATTTTACATGTTTAATACTTCCTGTAATGGAGTAGTTTTATTATTGTTTATTATATATTGCAATTACATAAGGAAAGAAACCTGCATCTGCTTACAATTAATGCAATACAAGTAAAATAAATAAACTGAACTTTATTCCTAGTGACTACATGAGGATCTCAATTCAGTTTTCTTGGAAACAGTACAGAAGTGGTGTGTCACTTCCTTTTTCTGGGATACTCTTCAATTTACCCCTTGTGTTTACAGCTTTGGGGTCTCCCATCCTAAATAAATAAAAACAGCCCAGCTCAACATCCCAGTCCATCTATTGAACCATGCAAGACAAGGGAATAAAAATGGAAAGCCAGTTGGAGTGCCTGCTGAATTTCACAGCAATTGGCTTGCTGCTGGAAAAATAATGTATTCTACAAATCAATTGTGTTCTGCAAAAAAACCCCACAGAATCAAAACAGCACTAACACTGAATTAATTAAGGAAGAAGACATAACTTAGGATTAGAATACACAATTTATTAGGAAGACTTTCCAGATTCAAGTCCTAGAATCTCTTCTTTCAAAATTATAGCCAGCAGAACCAAAATTATCAGCTTTATTATTATTCATTATTGGGTCACTCAAGAACCGGAGTTATTACACAGCACTGTTTCCTATATTCAACTCTTCCCTTTGTTGTTCATAATATATTAACTCCTGTATATTTTGTCCATCCACTGTCACAAATCTCCATAGCCTTTCTGAACCCTGATATGCTTTTCCCAGATCAAGCAAGCTGCTTGAAGCAGACTGAGACTTACCAGTTGATCTCTGTAAACTGGCAGTCTGAAGCACAGTTTTCCTTGCAGAGACTCTGAAATGCAACCTCCAGTTCATTTCCGTTCAGTGGCCTAGTCCTAAATCAGAAAAACCAAGAGAAGTGATTTTTTAAAGTATTGTTTTTATAGAGGCTAATAAAAGCCTGGCATTATTTAGCCAGTGGCTGTGGTCTAAAGACTAATTTAGGACATAATGCAAAGCAGCACTGCTGTTTGCTTGAGCCAGGAAGCACAACTAAATGCTCTTTACCACAATGTTCCTAATAGAAGAACCAACGACAGCCCATATTATCTGTATTTAGGTATAGCATAATAATGTGATTAATTCCACTATATCCTCTTACTAAACCTCTGAAAAAATGAGAACAGAAATGAAATGCAGCAGCACCTATGCCACGAAACAGCTCTGGATTCTGAAATGGTTATAATCCCTTCTTACCAGTGCAAAAATCAGCAGAATGGGCATTGCTCTGCTTTGCCTATGTCCCATCATTTCCCTTTCAAGGGGAAGGACCTGCTACAAGTAAAGTAATGCAGTTGTGAGGGTTGGAGTAGGAGGTAAGATGTGTTTTGGTTAGGTCTAGCAGCAGAATGTAAGCTTTCCCAAAAGGCTCCTGCTTTCACTCCCCAAATCATCAGAAACATTTTCACATCCATCCCCATTTTTTCTCACTGCAGTCAATCTTGAAATACTAAAAAACTAACATGAATCAGCCAAGGTTTCCTTTAGTTAACCAAGGAGAGAATGTAAAAAAATGGCATCCAGCCAGTCCTATTTCCCCTTGCCATGTCCATATTGTTGCTAAATAAACTACATGACTTTTCCCATGAAATCACCAGGAATTGAGCTCAATCCAAAGGAGATTTTGCCTTTTCTCTCAAAGCACACCTCTTGCTTCAATCATTTACTGCAATGTATTTACATGGAGCTGCCTACAAAAACTACAAGCAAGCTAAGTTGGTTCAAAATACAGTTCACCTGCTGGTAGGTGAGAGAACTACCAGTGCCATACAACAGCAGTGCTACAAGTATGAAATAATAGTAATAATAATAATAATTTATTGTTTATAGGTCATCCACATTCCAATGATTCTGGACAGTTTACAATTGTTAAAACATTTAAAAACAAAGAACAATACAAAGTGCATAAAAACAGCACTGGCTTTAGTAGGCTCCCACATACAATTTAAAGAGCTGGTCTTCGCCTATAAAGCTCTCTATCACTTGGCACATGACTATGTGAAAAACTGCCTGCTTAACTCACCTGATATATTCAGTCTGGGGGCTGCTGAATCCCATCACCATATGAAAACTGAGGAAGAGAACACAATGCTGCTTTTCAGTATGTGCCCTTATGTTTTGGTTTTGAAGCATGGTTCCTCCTAAGATTAACTGGAGCTCTTGATAACTTTCCAGAGAGTTTGGAGGACCAAAGTCTTTCCTAGAGGTTACAGTGGTTGAAGCGTAAAATGCTATAACTATCTGGGGTGGCACTGATTTTATCCAATGCTTTATGTTTCCATTACTCTATAAACTGCCAGGAGCTTGAAAGCTTAATGGTATAATATGCTAATTCATAAACATTTTCTGAACATTTCATAAACTCTTCCATTTTTCTGCAGCTTGGTTAGGGAGCCTCTGGCCAGGAGGGTCTACCATACAAAACATATCCTACTCCGACCTTCACTATTGTTTTGCTTCACCCACAGCTGGTCCTTCACTCGAAAGAGAAGTGGTGGGACATAGGCAAAGGAGTGCAATGCCAAGTCTACTGGTATTTCTGCAAGAACATTGGAAGAATCCCACATTAACCTTCATATAAAACTGGGGAATCATGGTCAATGCTAGAAGGAGCTGAGCCCTCTTGCAAAATCAAATCAAGACTGGGTTCAGTCTGAAGGAAAAAAAAATGAGGCAAGGGTAATACATAGGAAATAAAGATGCTTCTCAGTAGGAGCTCCTCTTCTCCTTCCTTCTGCAGAGACACAACAAGGTCACTAAACATTATCTGTGTGTTTCCTGAATATAGCTACTGTCAGTTTTCCATACATATATTAGACAAGGTTCTTTTCTCTGTGCAGTGGGACATGGTTAGTAACACACACACACACACACACACACACACACACACACACGGAAAAGGAGCCAATGTAAAGGAGTGGTGAAATATTAGCAACTTGATGTTATTTGGCCTTTGGGACAAATAGAGTTTGGACTGCCCTTTCACTGAATCCAGCTGCCAAAGTTTGTATTAAAACCCTAATGACCTCTTGCACAATCCAACTCTTTATATGGTTCCTTTCAAATGCTGATTTATTGTGAAACTCATTGTTTTTTGGCACATGAAATTAATTTTGTTTCTGAACTATAAGATCTTATATATTCTCCAAAATTTTAGTTTAGATATACTCAATGAGCTAAGTCTTAATGCTCACGTGATATGTTATTGGATATTATCCCCTTCTTCATATATAAAGGAGTATATTTACTTTATGGATTACTGCCTTGTCGAGACGAAGGGGCTTGCATAACTCAATGAAGCTATGAGCTATACCGTGCAGGGCCACCCACGATGGACAGGTCATAGCAGAGAGTTGTGACAAAATGTGATCCACTGGAGAAGGAAATGGCAAACCACTCCAGTATCTTTACCATGAAAACCCATGGACAGTACTAAAAGGCAAAAAGATATGATGCTGGAAGATGAGCCCCTCAGGTCGGAAGGTGTCCAATATGCTACTGGGGAAGAGCAGAGGACTAGTACTAGTAGCGTCAGAAAGAATGAAGCGACTGGGCCAAAGCCGAAAGGACGCTCAGCTGTGGATATATCTGGTGGTAAAAGGAAAGTCCGATGCTGTAAAGATCTTTTCTCCATAGGAACCTGGAATGTAAGATCCATGAATCAAGGCAAGCTAGACGTAGTCAAACAAGAGATGACAGGACTGAACATTGACATCTTAGGAATCAGCGAACTAAAATGGACAGAATGGGTGAATTTAACTCAGATGACCATCAGGTATACTACTGCGGGCAAGAATCCCTCAGAAGAAATGGAGTAGCCTTCATAGTCAATAAAAGAATAGGAAAAGCAATACTGGGATACAATCCCCAAAATGACAGAATGATCTCAGTGCGAATCCAAGGCAAACCATTCAATATCACAGTAATCCAAGTCTATGCCCCAACCACTAGTGCTGAAGAGGATGAAATTGACCGGTTCTATGAAGCCCTACAGCACCTTATAGAATTAACACCAAAAAATTATGTCCTTATCATCATGGGGGATTGGAATGCTAAAGTAGGAAGCCAAAAGATAACCGGAATAACAGGCAAGTTTGGCCTTGGAGTACAAAATGAAGCAGGGCACAGGCTGATAGAATTTTGTCAAGAGAATACGATGGTCATAACAAACACTCTTTTCCAACAACCCAAGAGACGGCTCTACACATGGAGATCACCAGACGGTCAACATAGAAATCAGATTGACTATGTGCTCTGTAGTCAAAGATGGAGAAGCTCTATACAGTCAGTAAAAACAAGACCAGGAGCTGACTGTGGCTCAGATCATGAGCTTCTCGTTGCAAAATTTAGGCTTGAATTGAAGAAAGTAGGGAAAAACACTAGGCCACTCAGGTATGAACTAAATCATATTCCTGATGAATATACAGTAGAGGTGACAAATAGATTTAAGGAATTAGATCTGATAGACAGAGTGCCTGAAGAACTATGGACGGAGGTTCGCAACATTGTACAAGAGGTAGCAACTAAAACCATCCCAAAGAAAAAGAAATGCAAGAAAGCAAAATGGCTGTCTGAGAAAGCTTTGCAAATAGCTGAGGAAAGAAGGGAAGCAAAAGGCAAAGGAAAAAAAGAAAGATACACCCAGTTGAATGCAGAATTCCAGAGAATAGCTAGAAGAGATAAGAATACCTTCTTAAATGAACAGTGCAAAGAAATAGAAGAAAACAACAGAATAGGGAGGATCAGAGATTTCTTCAAGAAAATTGGAGATATGAAGGGAACGTTTCACGCAAAGATGGGCATGATAAAGGACCAAAATGGCAGGGACCTAACAGAGGCAAAAGAGATTAAGAAGAGATGGCAAAACTACACAGAAGAACTATACAAGAATGAGCTTAATGTCCCAGATAACCACGATGGGGTGGTCACTGACCCCGAGCCAGACATCCTAGAATGTGAAGTGAAATGGGCCTTAGGAAATCTGAGCAACAACAAAGCTAGTGGAGGTGACAGTATTCCAGCTGAGCTATTCAAAATCTTAAAAGACGATGCAGTAAAAGTGCTACACTCAATTTGCCAGCAAATTTGGAAAACTCAACAGTGGCCACAGGATTGGAAAAGGTCAGTTTACATTCCAATTCCAAAGAAAGGCAATGCCAAAGAATGTTCAAATTATCGCACCATTGCACTCATTTCACATGCTAGTAAAGTTATGCTTAAAATCCTACAAGCTAGACTCCAGCAGTATGTAGATCGAGAACTACCAGAAGTACAGGAAGGATTTCGAAGAGGCAGAGGAACTAGAGATCAAATTGCCAACATACGCTGGATCATGGAGAAAGCTAGGGAGTTCCAGAAAAACTTCTGCTTCATTGACTATGCTAAAGCCTTTGATTGTGTGGATCACAACAAATTGTGGCAAGTTCTTAAAGAGATGGGAGTACCAGACCATCTTATTTGTCTCTTGAGAAACCTATATGCGGGTCAAGAAGCAACAGTGAGAACTGGACACGGAACCACTGATTGGTTCAAAATTGGGAAAGGAGTCCAGCAAGGCTGCATACTGTCGCCCTGCCTATTTAACTTATATGCAGAGCACATCATGAGAAAGACAGAGCTAGATGAATCAAAAGTTGGAATTAAGATTGCCGGGAGAAATATCAACAATCTAAGATATGCAGATGATACCACTCTAATGGCAGAAAGTGAAGAGGAACTAAAGAGCCTCTTGATGCAGATGAAGAAGGAGAGTGCAAAAGTTGACTTGAAACTCAACATTAAGAAAACCAAAATCATGGCATCCAGCCCTCTCAATTCCTGGCAAATAGATGGGGAAGAAATGGAGGTAGTGACAAATTTTATTTTCCTGGGCTCAAAGATCACCTCAGATGGGGATTGCAACCAAGAAATTAAAAAACGCTTGCTCCTGGGGAGGAAAGCTATGGCAAATCTAGACAGCATACTAAAAAGAAGAGACATCACCTTGCCAACAAAAGTGTGTATAGTCAAGGCCATGGTTTTCCCAGTTGCAATGTATGGATGTGAAAGTTGGACCATAAGAAAGGCTGAGAGACAAAGAATTGAGGCCTTTGAACTATGGTGCTGGAGAATACTCCTGCGAGTCCCTTGGACTGCAAGGCGTTCAAACCGGTCAATCCTAGAGGAGATCAACCCTGACTGCTCTTTAGAAGGCCAGATCCTGAAGTTGAAACTCAAATACTTTGGCCACCTAATGAGAAGGAAGGACTCACTGGAAAAGGGCCTAATGCTGGGAAAGATTGAGGGCAATAGAAGAATGGAACGACAGAGAATGAGGTGGCTGGATGGAGTCACTGAAGCAGTAGGCGTGAGCTTAAATGGACTCCAGAAGATGGTAGAGGACAGGAAGGCCTGGAGGAATGTTGTCCATGGGGTCGCGATGGGTCGGACACGACTTCGCAATTAACAACAACAACAGTGTTCATGGTCATATTTTCTATTTAAGTTTGACCAAGGAACAAAAACAAATGGAAAACCAACCAAATACATATAATACAGCAAAGACTAGAGGGAAACGTAAATATATCTAAATAAGTATAATGATAATTAAGTTACTTGACTAGTGTTTTTCAATTATTTTGGAACTTTAAGCTTAAATTTCAAGTGTTAGACATTACATGATTCTGAAACCATTAGATTTTTTTTTGAGTAAGCAACACAAGCTTAAAACCAAAATTTTAAACAATTTAACAAATGGCTACATTTCCATGAAAAAAGTACAGGATGAATCCTAATTAGTTTCACTTAGACAAGATTCACTGAAACCTACATGATTAGAAGTGTCCCCTTTTTCAACTAACAGCAGAAACATGTCCTGGCAACTTCTTTTTTTTCTGCCTTGCATCTGAAATATTGCCTTTATTCCCACACTGTGAGATAGTTTTAACATTTCCTAAACTGTACTACTGTCAAAAAGAACATTCCTCTTCTTATTCCAAGACCATCCAAGGGCAGCATCAAGGTATTTAAAACAGGTTTGGAAGCAAGACAGGTGACTGGCAGAAACTGGGATTGGCAATAGGGATAGCAAGTTCCATGCAGGTATATTTTTCTGCCACCAAAAGGATGGATGGATAGCCCTTAAACTTGGTAGAGTGAAAAGGCCCAGTTTCTGGAAACAAAATTCCTTCCAAGATGCAGTTATTAATAAAATTGTCAACACAGCTGCATGAACAAAAGTTGACTTTTAAAAAACTAATAAGATTAATACCACAAATAATATTCCTTGGGTCATTTCCCCCCCAAACTTGACAACTTTAAAATGGTGGCTATGGAATTCTGGGAGTTAAAGTTCATTTACCTTAAAGTTTCAAGTTTGAAAAACACTGCCTTAAGTACAGGGTCACACCTATATAGTTAGGCATCATCGTAAGATAAATTGGCTAATGAAACAGATTGGAACAAGATTTTTGATTCTCAAAAAACTCTTTGCCAGTCAAAATCTTCCTACTTTTCATCTGCAGCAAGATCATTATATGAACAAAAATGGAAAGACTCTGAAATACACAAAATAGTTCGATTAGGGAAAAGGCAGCAACAATACTTGTGATTAGATCTGACACCTGTATGGACTTTATGCTGAAAACGGAACAAAAATGAACATTATTTATAGGTTTGACGAATATAAAGTGTAGAATATGGAAAGAAGGGAACAGTATCCTTAGATTGAGAAGCTAAAATATAAATTTATTTATAACTGCTGTAAAGTGCAGAAGGTGCTTCTTCATATCTTTATTTCCTTTTTTTATCTTTTAGCTTTTTCCTACTTTTCCCTTTATATTTGTATTGTTTTACTCTGTAACAAATGTCCAATAAAAACTAATTTAAAAATCTCACTTCTACATTTCCTCACATGCATTTTTCTATGGCAAACCATAAATCCTTTTTCAAAACTGTTTTAAAATGCAAGGCCCCCTGCTTTTTCCAAAATTACACAGATTGGAATAGGAATGTCTTTCCTAACGTTAACTTTTTCTAATTTTCTAAATGCTAAAGTAAACCCGAATATACAGAAAACAGCAAAGCGCTTTATTGGAGGGCAGCTCGTTTACTGGTTCTGCTACGAATGAACCCAAGATCTATGGCCAGCAAGACCACTGAGTCCTGGGCACCTAGAAGAGACTATAATGATGTCAACGCACGTAGGCAGCAACAATAATGACATTTAATACGTCTTTGCTATCCTTGTGACTCGCGAGAAAGGAATGAAACGGCAGTTGCCTAATGCTTACCAACTGTGCCTTCGTGTCACTTGGAAAGCTGATCGGCAGGGGGCGCCCGAGCGAGAAAGGCAGCTCCGAACACTCCCAGTAACCATTCGGAGAGCTTAGCGGGCCCCTTACCACAGAGATCAACCAATCCTTCTTCGGGGGCGGAATGTTAAAGCGAGGCTACTCTACGCAGAGCCATACGGTACCCGGCATGCTCCGCGTTGAAGGTGCCGGAAGTGAGTGTGCATTTCCGGCGGCGAGAAGGGCCGGTCTCTGTTGCTCTTCGGAGTGAACCGCGGTTCTTTCCGTGCTGTTCCCCTCCGGGTCCTACCATGAAGGACGTCCCAGCTTTCCTACAGCAGAGCCAGAGTTCTGGACCTGGTCAGGCTGCCGTTTGGCATCGGCTGGAGGAGCTTTACAATAAAAAGTGAGTCTGGGGATCGGTTCAGTAAGGGGGTGGGGGAGGGGGGGAAGGGGAGCGAAGTAAAGGGGTGCACGTGCGTTGGAGTCCGGGAGGTGGCGGGCGGGAGGGGGGGGAAAGATCTTTGCTAACTGCGAGGGGTTCCTAACTCGGGAAATGCTGAAGGACAAGAGACAGTGGTTAAGATATTGAGATATTGAAGACCTCTTCTGGTAGCAGGCTGTATATGTCTTAAGACTGGGTGCTCAGTTTTCACCTGTCCCCTTGACTCACCCCATTCTTCATGCTGAGCGCGGCTGGTTCATTTGTCCTGACAAAACTCCCTTCCTTTACATCCTGTCTGCTTCAGGCCGATCTTGTTCACCTGGCCTAGTCTGGAAATAACACTTTGGGGTGGAGGTGGGTCTACTGCTTGCTAGTTTATGTAGTTCCAGACCTTTCATGCAGCTAATAATATTGCTAGCACAGAATTCGATCTTTTAACGTTGCTTTCGAATTTACATGTTTATGCTTCAGAACAAAATATTTCGGTTTTTTAAAGTAACATGAAAATATATTCCAGACATATAAGATTCCATTCTTTCAGAGCAGATTTCCATTTGATGTTCTATTTGCGTAGCCCCTTCTGTAGTTTTTATCTGCTCTGCACGGACTATCAATTCTCAAACAGTAGAGAACAAGTGGGAATATTGTTCCATTGGGGGATTAAAAAAAAAGTTTGATTCAACCAACATGTAGGTATCAACAACAAATGATTTGTTTCTCATCATGGCAAGAACAAAGAATCTGTTTTGGTTCTTAATATTAAATTAAATGAGGCATACATTGTGAGAGCCATGTTGATGTAGTGGTTAAGGTGCCAGCCTAGAAACAGCGACTGTGAGTTCTAATCCCTCCTCAGGCACAAAACCAACTGGGTGGCCTTGGGCTGTAGGAAGCAAGGTAATGGCAAACTATTTATATAAAATTCTTGCCATGAAAAACAGCAGTCCAGACAATAGCCAGGAGTCAACACTGACTTGAATATACATGAATACATACATACATACATACATACATACATACACCTATCCAGGTTTTGATGGCCTACATATATTGTTCTGAAATATTGACATATATCTGTGGATATACTGAGACAGGCTATTTTGCTCAATGTTATTTATTACTTAATGATAGCAGTTCTCTGAAAACCTGCTGCCTGATTTTTCTTAATGATGCACTTTTCCTAGGAACCATTCCTGATAAATTTGGTTATTTTCTTATTTTAAGCAACATATTTTGTTAGTGGGTTATTTTAAAATCAATGTTATTTAAGTTTTTTTTATTCAAACAAATATTTTGAATAATTCCATATGTAATAGGCATTAGAGTGAATTTTCAGTTTGGATTTGCTCATGTATAAAGTTGTCAATATTGATACTATTCCTTTTGTCTATGTATGTTACAGACTCTGGCACCAACTAACGTTGCAGGTTTTGGATTTTGTGCAAGATCCCTGCTTTGCTCAAGGAGATGGTCTTATCAAGGTATATGTCCTAGTATTATTAAATTAGAATGGCTTGTTTAAGGATCATCCTAACAGATGCAAAGGGTTGTTATCTATTTGCAATACACACAGTTTTCAGTTCTGTAATTTATATGTCCAAAGGAACCTCATTTTAGTAATTTGATTTTACTTTTTAGGTTTATAACAGAGGTATTCACATTGGCATGTAATGTTACTGCAGTGGCCCTGAAGAAGTTATATAACAAAAATAAAAAAAAAGGTTGTAGTCATTTTGAAAACAAATGTAGTGAAGGATCAAATGGATATATTTTCCCTTGCTACTGGAGAACTTGGTACTCTTCAAATTCTTGAAAGGATAGCACAAAACTAGATTCCTGTCTTAAGAGAGCAGGATTATATCTAACAGGTTTCAGTTAAAGATACTGATGCAGCATTTAATGAATCTTTTTTACATTAAGGGCAAAGCAGTTGAATGTCTGTAGGTAGGGGTGCACTTTCTTACCTGGATGACTTCTAAAATAAGCTAGATAGATCACATGAGATACTATCCTTGCTTTAATGAGACATTTTAATTTTGTAGGTTTCTATTATTGATGAAAAGGCTTCATACTCTTTTATACCTTTGTAGAACTGGGACAAAGGAAAGTGATTTTGCCAGATTCCACCCCCCCCCCATGCAATCTCCTTATTCATACAACCGTCACTGCTCTTCCCTTTTTTGTTCAAAAATATTTTTATTGTCACGAAAGTGCTCAGTAGCAATGTTTGTAGTTATTTAACATGTGTGCATCTGTGTAATTAAAATTATCTTTTTCTTTTGGCTTACAGCTTTATGAGAACTTCATCAGTGAGTTTGAACACAGGTAAATTTTTTTCACATGGCTAGACTTAAAAAAGCCTAGATTATTTTTCATTGATTCATAATAATTTCTCTTTATTTTAGGGTGAACCCTTTATCCCTTGTAGAAATCATTCTTCATGTGGTACGGCAAATGACAGGTAAACTTCTTTTACTCATAATTATTTTCCTAAAGACAATGGTTCAGGTAGAAATTTTGAGGCTGAGAATGGTATAAAGCAGACATGTCAAACTTGCGACGTCACGTGACGTGCAACGTGTCGGCACGGTTTTGCCATTGCCGGCAGTGGGGTGGGCGTGGCTTCTGGATGATGCATCCGGCCCGCGGGCCAGCAGTTTGACCCTCCCCCCGGTATAAAGTAATAGCAGTTGAACCTTCAACTCTGTTAGGGAAAACATCTATATATTTAGCCTTTTGTGGTACTTATTGGTACTGAAATATATCAAATACGGTAAAGGAGTATTTGTTTTATATAGACAGTTTCAAATCTAGAATAGCTGTTTTTATCTTAATGCGACTGTTCAGATGCTATTTTTGATTATTTCAAAAGTATTCTAAAGTAACATTTTCAAAAAAGTCTTTTCAAAATTGAGTATTTTGCCCACTGATGGTATTAATATGCAAACTAAGTGCTGAATTCTGGAAGTACAGATTGAAAGCAGTTTTTTCTGGACATGTTTTTCCTGTGCCATCACTCTACTGAATACCTAATTCTCACACTGCTGTGTAATGTTTATGTATATTTTTCCATGTAGTGTGGCTGTAGTATTATTTATCTTTATTTTCTTTACTCCCTCCTTTTATTGGTATTATTTTATTGGTATTATTGTTCTGTTGCTTTTCATGAGTGCTTCTGTACTGGAAACAAATTCCTTGTGTGTTTAATCACACTTGGCCAAATAAAGTATTCAGTTCAGATTGAAAACTTATTTAATTGCTCGTATACTTATAGGATTTTAATCTTGTGTTTACACTTTAGTGTAGGATGAAATGATACGGTATGCAAGAGATCCCACATTTATTTATACCACAGAGAATTACAGTAAAGGGATATGAAAAGCATATCTGGAATTCTTTCATATTTACTATATTTTATATGTTTTATATTAATATATTTCATTGTACACAATGTCATTTTTAAAAATGTGGAAATTTATATTATATGTTTTTATAGTAATATGTTTCATTGAACAATATATTTTTAAAGGGTTAATGCTGAATTGCATGATAGGCATGGCATATATATTTAAAACAATCTCTAATATTGCCTCTGGTTTGCATTTCTTTAGATCCTAATGTAGCTCTTACTTTTCTGGAAAAGACCCGAGAAAAGGTAAGGAAAGAACGTAATAGACAATTGTATATAATTTTTTAATTAATTCAAATATTAGTTTCAGATATTTGCTATATTGGCCAGCCAATTTACAGATAGGTTGCAAACACTGCAATAATCAATTTAGTACAAAATATAAATTGATAGCAGGTCATGTTTCAATTAATTCAAGACTTATGCATGCAGTTGCTATTGGGGCTTTAAACGTTAATTGCTGTGTGTGCAAAATGGAAAAAAGGAAAGTTCTGTTTGAGGAAAGCTCAAGGAAGAGACTAATTTTGAAGAACTATAGCAGAATACAAGAAATTTTGATATAGGTTCATCATTTTTACTCTAACATAGTACAGGTAGCCTTTCCTTAACAACCCTAATTTGGGGCAGAATTTTTTTCATTAAGCGAAGTTATTGTTAGTTAAACATAACATGACTGTGCCACTGAGTGACAAAAGTTCTGGTAGCCTTGGTTGCAGTCTTTATGCAAGGAGTGTTGAATTCTCCTGTCCTGCCATGCTCCCCTCTGCATCAGCCCCCCCCCCCAATTTCTGCCCTTTTAGCCGCCCTGCAGTCACCCAGCTGATCTTCATGATCCTTCTGCTGATGAGGTACATCTGGCTAAGGCAGTTGCTGGCCCTTTGTGAAGGCTGTGGACAGTAGCCAAAAGGGCAGAGACAGGGAGATGTAAGCAACTGTCTGAAGGCCTTGTGAAGGACCGGCAACTGCCCAGGCCAGGCATGGTTTGTCAGCAGCAGGAGGAAGACAATGAATGGTGGCAGCAAAGTGCGGGGTAACCAAAAGACATAGATGGGGGAGAGAGGGGGGGGCAGGTGGGAGGAGTTGGAGCACATGCTGCAGTTGTAAATGTGGGTGGGCTTAAAGCTGCTTGAATTTTTATTAGGTGACTGCAGAGGTGTTGCAACAACCATAATTTCAAGGAATAGTAGTAACTACCATTCGTTCAGCATTACTGTAAATTTGAACAGTTGCCGAACAGTTGTTAAAATGAGAACTAGCTCTATTTCAGTAATAAATACAAGATTTA